GCGAGGGGTGAGGATCAGTCCACGGTAAGGTCTACGGCAATGGATGTTCTCTCTGGTGAGACGTCGGCGCACTCTATCGGTACTGATGGGTCATCCGTGTGTTTCCATTGTCTGACGTGCTGTCTCAGATGCCTGTGTGAAGGGATTCTGCACATGCTATCGCACAACATAGTGGTCTTGTCGCCTTGTGGTAACCCTTGATCTACCAGTTCGGGGGCGATCATCTGTGGTGTTGGTGGCCCGAAAGCATTGCTGAAGCCTGTAGATGGTCCGAACATTGACTTGGAAGTAATTGGCAATGGCTTGGGCAGTGTGGCCAGTGTTGAGTCTTCCAAGCGTCTGGTTCCTCTGAGCTGTCGTGAGTCGTGGCATGCGGCTGAGGTTGTAGTGTGAATGATTCAACCAGGTATGGGGGTGCATTTTATAGGGCTGGTCCCGGTGAACAACACGTGCAGCATAAGTTACATGAAAGTCATGGAGAACACATTACCATCTCAAAAGTCAAGTTGCGATTTTGAGAACATTTCCTGGGTTCAATTCTGTGTTTTGGAAGGAGCCTTATTACTCAGGTAAAGTGGTCACAAATATACAATAAAAACATTTGGCAAGTTTTATGCAATGCGTCTATTCAGAGTAACATACCAGCCGGACGTTTCTTTTGCTGCTTAGTATATATAAACATGTGTACACTGAGCTTTCTTTGGTGGATCGTCCAAAAGTCTGAACAAGATTTATGCCCTTAGATTAAGTCAGTAACTTTTTGTGTACTATGTATAGTATATTACTTGATATTAATGTTTCTTGTTCATATTCCTGCAAGCCCTTCTCAAATGGTACTAGGTTAGTTCCTTAGGAAAAGTCTCTGATCAGACACTGTCTGCTGACCGTTCCAATCCATCCCTATATAGCTGCAATATAAAAATACCTCTCTTTCCCACCTCTGTTCTAAGGCTATTTTGGAGGTCTTACTGACTATTTCTCACCGTGATTCTTTTGGTATGCCAAAAGGAATCATTTATCGCCACATTTGACACAAATTTATAATTCAACACTATTTCCAAGTTTGCTATTTCACATTTAATTCAGAAAACAAATTTAAAATGTCAACGTGGTAGATAATCTCCAGGCTTGAATTCAATTGGATACAAGACTTAAGCAAAGATTACAGGTGGCAGTTTACTGGCTTTTGACCATGTCCATCCAGAGGACGCTGAATGATGACGTATTTTCAATTCATGATATCTTTGTAAATAATGAACTTGATTAAAACAGTTTTGGACTGATTTCCCTTAAACATGCATTATGCAAGAGCAAAATCTGCTTATTACAAGTCTTTCTTTAGGCCTGAAATGTTATCTAAATTATCAATTAGACATTAATTAACTGATCCAGACCATAATAAACTCTCGATGTCAAGGCTAGCCTTCGATGTTGGCTGGATTAGATTCCTATATGCCGCTAACGGCCGTTGATAATTAAATCAACAAAAGTGGATAATCAAGACTATGCTGTTTATATTAATGATTTTAGTAATGATGACCGAGACTATGCAAAAATTTCAACCGCTTCTTTCTCAGCTCATAGTTGATCAATTTGACTGAAATTTTCAGCAAATTACCTTTACACTATCTAGTTTTTAACTATTATAGCGAGAACTGCCATCTCTTTATCTTATTTCCCATAATGTATCTTTAAGTGATTCGACTTTCCCGATATTGTACTATTTTGCAAGGAAATTCCTTAATACGGTACCTCAAATGACATCAAAGACTTTAATTTACAGGTACTTATCTCATTTATAGAATCTATATTCTAACCTACCTTTATACATATATTCTATGTTAGTGAAACTCAATGATCCCACGATTTGAATGACTTAATAAAATAAACAAGACTATCAACTGACCAATATTGTGTCTGCTATAGATACTAGTCGACTGATTGCCTTCTTAGTCAGTGTGACACTTACATATTGACAAGGTTTAACCAACCATATCTTTAATGTGACAATCACCACTTACCGGTAGTATACGCTTACAACATAAAATGTCAAAATGACTAACTGTGACGCACATCACATCAGCTTAAAATACAAAACTTTAAAGTGTGGATTATGCACTAAAATGTTGATTCATAATCATATCATTATCGAAGTTTCTATGAGGTAGAAATTGTTGCTTCAAAACAATTCAACCAGTTCTATGGACAATTGATCTGCATTATATTGTAACTTATTGATGGTGTGTAAATGAAATTAAATAGTGTTTAATGGCACATCAGCACCAACCACTCTATATTGTGCCTAAATGATACCTACTCAAAATTGAATTCTTGTATAAAACTAAACTGCCCTCAAAACTAAATGGTTGTATTTAAAGTAGCTAAGTCTCTAACTCAATATCATCCAAAATCTTCGACATTGAAAACACGATTTATTTGTTGGTTTAAATCAACAGTGATGTTGTGATCTTACCGGGAAAAGATGACCTTCTGATATCCAATATTTAAGACAAAATAAACATTTTACAATTGGTACACGAATCGTGTACCATACTGCGTTTCAGCATTATTTGTAATAAGGGACTCGAAACACGAGGCTAGGCATATTACACAAGTCATGTCAAACGGTGACGCTATATTCTTATCTGGAGAGCATGCCCAATAAATACTATCGCCGTAGACTGGAATAACCAGAAGCTAGAGATTGAAATTTGATTGAGAATACTGGCGTATGTCGCCGAACCTAACTGATTAGAAATTACAGTAAAAACTGAAACGATTGAATGTAAATCAATTTATATACATTCATATTACATTATTGTATGCGTTACGACCCATTTGTGTCAATTTCTAGGTCCCAAATATTAGCGACTTGGCTCCTTTAACCTAAAAACAGTGATAATATAAACCAATAATTATCTAAACAGTAGTCTAGTAACTAAACACAGCATTCAGATTCTAAGATAATAAGTTGATAAAACACTGCCTGTTCCTCAAAACTAAATAGCAACCAGTCTCCAGCATTTTATCTTCTTAAAACCTCACTAGATTTTGTAGGAAATTTAAAGTTTCAGCTGGATCTCCTAATTTGAAAATCATGACTAACACAGTAACTGTATGGATATATTGATCTATTTATCATTGACGGAATATCTTTGACCCTGGGCTATATTGTCTATACTGATATCAGGACTACTCATCAAGTATTACCTTTACATAAGTGCCAATGGAAAAGTTGTGTAACACAATCACAAAGTGGTATAGTTTCATGAAAGATCTATCTCTACTTATCCAGGATTTCCTGGTTTGTTGAAGTCTTCACTTGATTTTTTATGACACATTATCAATTTATACATCGAGTATTACCGTATTGGTAGAAGAGTGGTGCAAATATAAATATAAGTATTTGATGCATAGATTGCATACCAAGGACACCTAATTAAGCATAAAGAGGGTATCAGTTTTTCAGAATTTGAGTTTTACCACACCCTGTCTTATAAGTAAAGAAAATAAATTGGTGAAGCAGAAATGAGACATGTTTGCCAATAAAACCAGACACAAAACGGCATGATCAAGATATGTATGGACTATGGTACATGCACTTTACATGGTGCATCTATCCTAAAATCCACAGGTATTAATTTTGCTTTTACTTAGTACTGTATTACATGGAAAAAAGCCTCTACTGACCTACGTCTACTCTTAAAAGTGTAATGATTTCCATTAAATAATAATGAAAACATGAGTTAAATTTTCAGCCATAAAATGAAATAAATTCTGATTGATAGATCTGCTTACTCTTCAGAAATAAAAATTGAATCGTTTCCAGATTTGTCCTCGAACACTAATAAAATCATTATAGTATAGCAGATAGGTCCAAGACAACATGCTATTTTGACCTCCTTTTATATCAATGAGATCCTGTTCATGTACACTTTTAATGTTCTAGATGGTATCCAATAGTTCTTACTCATTTTAAAAACTATTTTATTTACAGTATCCAACTGACATTTTAAATGTGTCACAATTTATAAACAGGTTAATCTTAAGCCTTGTGGTGTGGTACAAGAAATATTGATAAAATATTTAAATCAAGATTGATCAATAATTACGCAACTACACATAACCTAGATTGTCAGTGAAATCAAAATGTCGTAGTAAAGGCAACATGCCAGAACTCTTTAGAATAAAAGTATACATGTCAAAGGCAATACTTAATCACGAACCCCTTAATCACCAAGCCTACTCATTTTACTAGGCTCAAAATTAATCAAATTAATCAATTCTAACTTAATGTTATTTGTTATGACTATACATTCTACATGTACATGTATATTGCCTTTCTTTAAGAACATCTGATACCACTTATCATTTGAGGTTCAAATAGCTAACAATATTTTACTCTGTCATCTTATTCTATTAGACCCATGTAGCATTACTAACTGATTCTTTTATTTGCAATTGGATTTGCTTTATTAGAAAGACATTTCAAAATACTCTGCACAATTTCTCACTTCTTTGATAACATTTTCCTAAAAAAAAATTCTATTGTAATTACGTACTTACAGCTATAGAATTATCTGACTATAATTGAGATTTTATTACATCCTGACATAGTGACATATAATATCATTATTAATAAACAGTTGTCTATACTAGAGCTACTAATAACTATCCTATTACTGACGTGTGTACATTTTATGCACTATGATTATGCAGAGTAAAAACTGGGGTAAAGCTTTATTTTGAGTCTACTACTAGATACTGTGTTCATTTTAAACAAATATTCAACAGCAATGCTTTTATCCCACATGATAAATCCTTCATAAAATATTGATGTGTGTGACATCTGTTAAAACCATCTCTCACATTGCCTGTAGAATAACATCTAGCTATCAGATATAATGCAACCAGAGAGAGAAATGCTAGCTGGATTAGACAAAACCATATTCAGTAGTGCCTTGGCTCTACTTCATGTAGATGTAAACACTTCCACCTACCTTAAAATGGCTACGTTAATTATTTTCCAATTATTTAATCCCTATATTAAAGCTTTGCAATGTAATCCTGTTAAAACAATTCAATACTCCTTGATCTGTGGAGTGCAATACATGCGACTCTCCACACCCAAACACACACACACATGAATACAACAATGATGTCATCAATAGCTATAAATAGTTCTGGAGTCTTTACACCTCAAATGTACTACTGGATAGACTTTCTACTACAGCTATATATTGTTAATTTGTATAATAAGTGGTCTATTCAGAATCTAGATTGTAAAATTGTCGACATGATATGATCACTGAAGCCGAAAAAATTTCACCCACTGACTAACACAGTCTGCTAAATCCCAAAGATAAAACAAACAATTAAGCGTTTTATCATATTTTTAGCTGAAACAAGAGCCTAGGGCTACAAACAGTCAATATAGATTGGATGAAAAGCCTGTTAGCTATTGGTTTATGCTGTATATAACTGTTCATAAACTGCCTGCCAGGTTTATGCAGACAAAGATTATGGAGTTCTTCAGACTTTGAAATCAGCTCAATCAACAGGTTATAATGTAAACTAGTAACAGGTTATAAACTAGTATAGATAGAAAATAGACAGATTTCGACTGATGATATATAAATGAGATATTTATGTCTGGAATCATACATAAAATATTTGATCTATTTACTGTAGCCAAGTTAAAACTGGAGCAGCATATAACACACTTTGTATTTAGTAAAACCCCCAACAACAGATAGGGATACACAACACGTACCCTTTGGGAGAAATCTGAAACTGTCACTGCTATTTTGAGGGCTGATGACCAGGGTAGATTATTAGTAAGTTATAACAATATAAGAAAATATCCCCAAAATTATTTGACATAACCAACTCTTGTCAATTATTTCCCCTGGGGGAGTAGTCTGAAATATCCCAACCTTGTCATTGCTATTTATTAGAGGGCAAGGGAAGAGTCAGTTTTGTAATTTTTCTGAACCTTCACAGATTCAGGGATTTTACAAATTTTCAGATGGATTATTTCCCTGAAACACTTTAAACAACTGATTGAAAGATTTCTGGTGTAATAAGTTAGTTTATATATACTTCAAAACTTGCTTGTTGGAAGGTTCAAAACAATCAGCACCTGCCCAAATTGCATATCAGCAAAAAAATTAAAAATGTCAATAACTAACTAGAGATAAATTTTAATAATGGAATACAGTCACAGTGTATTTAAAATATCAACCAAAAAACTATGTAATGATAGACAAATCTGTGACTGACAAAATGATCATGACAGGCATCAGATGAATTGAGCCGAACATCATCGGCAGACATATCCTACACGTAAATATTACTGCACGCATACATACATACAATATTATACTGTACCCAATTATAAGCTTATATAATTAGACCTAATAATCAGAAGAAAAATATGAAATAAATAGGCCTACAACAACATAAAAGATTTTAAAACGGGGGAAAAAAATTTCCGTATATTATTATCATTACACAAGGAACCAAGCTAGATAACAAACCTCATCTCTCAGCCCTCCGTGTTTCGAGATAAGAGATGGTCCTATATAGTTCCACGTAGCAACGCCGAACACGAATCACATCCAGCCTCAGTAAGCAAAATTGACAATATTTTTCATCAAAACAACGATTGATTATTGTTATTTATAACATTTCTGCCACATCCAACTATAATTAAGCAGAAAATCCTACCTGACACAGGTACAAATCCCCTCTTTTTAAATCAAAGCGATAGTAGATTGTTCTTTCCAACATTTTAAATTTACGTCTTTAACACAGAAAGGCAGGGCCTTGTGTGCAATAGCCAATCAAAGTGCTAACCTGATCAGAGTTGCGCAGGAGTAATATGCCGTAATTATGAATGTCCGTATCAATTTTGATAAAAACAACGCTTGATTTACTTTATTGTCAATATTTGCTGATAAATGAATGTTGTTTCAGTAGATTGGACTGCGTAGGCCCTATGTGTAATAAGTACAAATAGTATAAAATTAACTTATTTTTAAGATGGTACATGCATTAATTAAGAAATTGAGTTTGCCACTTGGAACTAAAGCCAAAGGCATCCAATCGTAGCTAAAATTTAAAAACAAGCACATCAGTATATATCTCAATGTTTTTAGTTACGTTCTCGTTCTCGTAGCTAGGAACCAAGCCAACCCATATGTGGATTTCCATGCCAAACCATATACTTATATAGGGGACTTTCAAGCAAAACTTTTCATTTGTGCCTGACATTTTTAGATGCAGGTGGTTTATTTCCAGACTTGGATTAAAGTTGGATGAAATATAATGAAATGTCCCTAACTTCCAAATAAACATTAAACAATTAATGGACAATTTCAGGCTGACAGCGAGATGTTATTTCCAATTGCATAAAAATGAGGTAATTTCATTGTTTATTAATCATTGAGATTTAATCGCATTGACGCAAGAAAGGAATATCTACCGTATAGCCTTGGTTTGGTACTACTGTCAGTTGTTTTGATAACTGCACACATGATGATGATGGTGGCAGGCTATATTCGAAATATTTACACATTTTTTTGGCACGATTGCGTCTAGAACCAAGATCCGTTTCCCATAACAACCAATAATCTATGTACATGCATACTATTTCATTCTAAAATAAAACTTTATAGTATTTGAAATGAGCACATTAACAATGTAAACGGTAAAAACTGTGCACCGTTCATGACAGCACACCACACTTACCACGAAATCTATCAGCCATGCACTCAGCTAAGCTTGATCGGTCACGTGATTGAGTGGGGGCGTGATTATCCGTAATTACGTGTTTTATGCTATTTTTGTCGAAGCCAAAAGTGACGTTACAATAGATACGCGCTTGAGTTTAATTGTTCTTTCTTTTATCTCAAATACAATACATTAATCTTCAAGTGGATATTAATAATGTAACAAGACGGTCGACATCTTTATCTGCCGTGAGTCAAATTGATGGGCCTGTTTCAAATCCGATTGAATCTTATTATATAGCCGTATTTTGATTTTGTTTTCTTAATTAAATGTTAAACAATAAATCTGAGTACAATTACTATTAGCTTGGATTGCTCCAGGTATGTATTAATAATGTAACAAGACGGTCGCCATCTTTATTTGCCGTGAGTCAAATTGATGGGCCTGTTTCAAATCCGATTGAATCTTATATAGCCGTATTTTGATTTTGTTTTCTTAATTAAATGTTAAACAATCAATCTGAGTACAATTACTATTAGCTTGGATTAATTAAGCCGTGAGAAATTTGTTATTTGCAAATCACGTATCGTTACTAAATTAACCTGGATTCAGACTCCTCCACGTGACATTGTCATCGTTTACCATGCATCATGTCATAACCGAGAAACCTCCTTGCTTAGTGTAGTCATGGACCTTATAATGTATTATAAGGTCCATGGTGTAGTTTCCCCTTGTAGGGATTTAAAAAAGTCCAGTTACTGTTAAGGAACGTCGTCTAGCCGTTCGGGTGGGACGAAATTCCGAAGTTTACAGAAAAGTTCTACTTTTAATTCCAGTTTTATTTCATTTTGGCTATTTATTTGACACTGGAGTTTTACAGACAATTTAAATAAGTGACTGGCACTGAACGTACGAGTGTTGTCGTATAAGCCTAAAGCGCATGGGAGACATCGGTTAATTAGCTCCGGTTTTAATAGTTCTTGTTGGGTCGTATGTATAACAGGACGACACCCACCGAGGGTTGCCGATTGAAAATACTTTCCAGCGTTATCTCCCCATAACGAACTTTGAACCTAACGAAGAGGCGGTATCATGTGATCAAATAGAAACCGAAAAACGAAACTAAAATAAGCTCAATTGTAAATTCTTTAATAATATATTTACTTACTCTTGAAGAAGGGAGATACAGAAGTTTAAAATGGCTTCTGCTAGATCTTCGTAAGTTAAAAAGTAGTTTCCTACTCATTATTTACGGATCTGCCAAGCTCTTTTGAATCAAATTCTTATTTTGTTTTTGTACTAAATTGTAGGCATATAATAATTATGGCCGGATATTCGACACCCAGTCTGAGTTGTAAAATATATAGTTCCGTGAATCATAGATCTGTTTCATGCTAAAGATATGGAAATCAACATTTGATGTAACTGTACTGGTGTAGCACATAATGAACGTGGGTGTATCATTACTTTTTGCTTGCCGGGTGGCAATATTTAAATATTCTCTGCCAAAAGTAAATTTTCAATCTATGTTACGTATGCAAGGTAAAGTGACACCATCTTGTTGCATAATAGTCTCAACACCAACAAGGCTTAAGCCATAAGGTATTATTTCCCAACACAGAATAGTGACCCTTGGATACAAACGTCCAAAATAAACTTTTGTTACTCTATTACTCACAATACACTATTAGTATTTCACTGTCAATACCTCTTTAATTCGTACATTCACGTGTTATCACGTAAACGAAAGTTTCAGTTTCATCACTTTCTTGCACAATCGCAGTTACACCTACAGACAAAACGATAAAACTTGGGGACAGCTATTATCTCTCTATTTATACTCTGATCTATGTAGTACAGTAGTCGAGTCTTAGATTTTCGAGTTGCTTTCCTATTTCCTTGTAGTATGAGATTTCCACATCTTGCTACCACGGGTTTGGGATCCGCCATTTTCTTTTTCAAACTTGAAAATGACCCTTCATATCTTTAGACGAGTGATGCGAATAATTGTTGAACTAACAATGCTTACATCACCATACCTACAATTATGTCGTATTCCCTAAAAAAAAGTAATAACACATTTCGCCGTTGTATAAATGTAAACAATGATTCGTAGGTAGCTTTCGTGTCGGAATATCTGGTATGTCCTTGACCGTATGCTAATATTAGGGTGACCCATGTACTCACAGAAATACAGTTCACCGCTGATAGTTCGAGACTACCACTGAAGCGTGCACATTCGCCGTGCCGAGACCAACTTTCTGACAGTATGATACTATAAATAGCCATGGCACGTGCAATTCTCTACAAATCTATCAACTATTACAGCCGTAAAAAATTTATTGTTGACGATTTTGAATAGCAGTAAAATTAAGCTTCTTGGTTATTACAGCAGATTTAGAAATTACGTTCGTTTCATTTTTTAAATCGCTTTATCATTAACTGTACCGTTAATAAGGGCATCTTTTGGTTTAGTACAAAAAATATCTCTGAATCACTCGGGTTAGACAGGAACATGATACTAGCAGTAGTTTCATTTTACTTTTACAAGCTTCTTAAAACGATTGTTGAGCTACCTAACGTGCTTATTTCTAAATTCAATTTCTTGTTCTAGCTTTCTGTTATGTTTCGTAAAAAAGTAGTCTTGATTATCCCGACCTGTCAATCAGACGTAGAATGGTCGATAGACTGGTTAAGCGAGACTAATTTCAAAACAAGGGCACGTAACCTATCTTTTACTCAAAAGTGTCTGGATGTTATGGACGACTCTTGGAACCAGTTTTCAGTCTATTATTTATACATGATTAATGGTCATAGCTTATTAAGTACAACATGATCGTTTATTTAGTGACTATAATTGTGTGAAACTGATTTGAGGCTTGGCATATATATAAATATTGTGGCGTAATTGTCGAGATATATGGAGATATTTATTTATGGTGGGTCACCCTACTAATATCAATGAATAAAGTGTTAATTTTAAATACAAATTTTTATTTTTTTAATTTAAACAACTGCGGAATACGATTAATTCATATCAAAATACAAATGAGGTGTCATTTACGGGATTTGATAATATTATAAAAATAAGTCATGCATGAACTCATTGATGCGAGCAACACTTCCTTTGAGCGGTAATTCGACACAGAAAGGTAAATAAAAATGCAGTAAATACTTTTTGACTTATACTAACACAATTATCCTTACATCAGGTGGTAAAACGTAATATTATAGACTATTGCGCTTCATTTGCAAGAACTGTCACTTCTTTTAATATCAACATTATTCATATGGACCGTTCTGTAAATTGATGAAAACAGAACTGTCAAAATCTATGTTATCATGGCTGCCATGGTAAATGTTAGCAAAAAGGTTTGTTTCTAAACTTTGGATAGATTATTATCAGGGGCGGATTGGGTCCGGGAACCGGCCCGGCTCCCGTGTTGAAGCGGCCCCTTTTACTGTCCGCGGAGCCCGGACGGGGGTGGGGGCAGGGGCTCTCCCCATGGAAAATTTTGAAAAATGAACCCCAAATATGCGATTTGGTGGCATATCTGATTATAATCTCTGTCAAATAATATATCTCATAAATCAATTAATTTAGGCCAAAACCCCGACCTGCAAGTAATTTACAACCATCAACCTGTTTAATTATCACATCTTCATTTATTAATTAACGTATTATCATTGTATCTTCAAGAGTCAAGATAATTCAACTGGTTAAAAAATGGGACTAGTTGAGAAAATTTTGACCATTTGATTAACCAGTTAGAAATATTGAATAAGTAGGAATATTTTCATTGAAAAATGTCCCATTTTTGTTGCTGGGAGCGCTAGTTGATTCCTCCCGTGATGGAAGGCCATGAGACACATTGTACAGAGTGACGAAAGTGAAATTCATGAGCCCGTTAAAGCCACCAGCCACATACAACATGATCATCATCGCCCCATGGCCGGTCCAATACCCCGACCGCCCGATGGCCCAATCCGCCCCTGATTATTATTCATTTATGTTAGAATAATAATCATTTTGAGGGTCTGATATAGAATTTGTTACCATTTGAAACACATCATATTTTCCAATCAATCATTCAGCTGGACCTTTCCACATTCAATAGTGAACTATAAGTGTACAATGTAAAATAAATAATGTGTTGAGTGTGAATAAATATTGAATAAAATTTATAACAAATTATTTGACTGTAAATCTTAGTAAAAATGTTCAATCTTTAATTGTCAGTGCATCTATATGCTTCCTGGCACAAAGTTTCAAGGGTTGAATTAAGAAGTAATACAAATGATAACAATGTGTATTCATTATAAAAAATTGCTGAAAACCAAAAGCAGTTTCAAGGAAATTGTGATGCAGTATTTACAATATTCCATACAGACCCGAAACATTTAATTCAAATGATGTTTATGATGGTACTCCATACAAAAAGTCTGAAAGTAGTCCCTTGAAAAGAATGGAGGATATTTGAAAAATAAAAGTTTAATTATATGAACTTGGTGTGCTAAAACAAAGATAGTTTTCAAAATTTGAAGTCTTGATGGTTGTGTATATATTCAGGTATCTCTGTGAGACTTTGTGATTTCCCATGTTGTGTTGTTTACCCTGTAGCTGCACAGTGCTAAGTGGTATATTTGCTTCATATTTTCCAAAGTTACAAATTCCAAAGTCATTATTTTTGATTTTCATCCATTTTTTATTGTTCAGTATCATCTCAAGCACATCTGGACACCAAAAAAAAAAGGCATTAAAGGTGTTGTGAATGATTTTTTGAGGACCCCCCATTTCAGGTGTTGTGACAATTTTTGACACTTAACCTTGCCCTTAATATTATTATGTCAGTTTTTATAGAACAAGTATGAAATGAAATAGAAACGTCAGTAATGAATTGAACAGTACCAGTAGCCCGATAGGCGTACAGGCTGATTTTCTTTGATGGTTTAACTGATCATTTTTGCCTGAAAAATACGGGGGCAGTGCCCGAAAAATGAAATCTGCATAACTTTACCAGATAGCGCCCGGTCAATAATCAGTGAATTAACTAAAACTAAAATGTTTACATTAACTGATCTCATAGTGTATTATTAATCATCACACCTAATTAATAATTATCGTATATATATACACACCATTCTAATGAAATTAAACATGTAATACCACAAGATTCGAATCAGGCCAATATTGCAGACTATGTATAGCAAAGATTAGTCATTTATTGATAGGAAAGTATATTGGAAATTACGAAAATCCACTTGACAAGAGAACGAAGAGCAAAATATGAATTGCAGCTAGTTCATAATCAAATTCCGCACCGGTCAAAACAATGAATCTGCTCACTTCCGCGAGAGTGAAATCACTAAATAACCGAAGTAAAATCTCAAAAGAAAACAGCAAGTAGCACCTAGTGGAGCGAATTTTCGGGAACTTGACAACCTGAATAAAAATCAGAATAGTGTGATTTTCTGACACTCTGAACTCCAGTTGGGAATTGCATTACTCCACCAAAATGTCAGTATAAAAGTCCCGGAATTAGGGCTCTTCATTTTGCAAGATGGAATAATTTTTAAAAAAATTTCTTTTATATCCACTGAAATTTGATTTTTTTTTCATCATTTGGCCACAGCCCGAAAAATTTGATAATCGCCCAATAAAAATTGGTTTGCTCAACTCTGGAGGGGGTGGGGGGATGAGTACCCCATTGAAGTGTCTTGCGAATTAGTTAAAGTCCTTCAGTTTTAATAATCTTCAACCATGACTGGTGGGTGATTAAGGCCCTTATTATATCTCATGTTATTCATGTATTAAACATCCATATACATCAAGTTGATTTTCATTTAGTCCAGCATATTCACGAGGTACTCATACATTGGAGGTACCAATGGAACTGTTCGGTCAAAATCGCCAGAGGTTGTGTGAAGCTCTTCGGAAAGATCCTCGAGTTCCAAAGAAGGCCATTGTATTGCTTCAAGGAGGTGAATCAACAACCAGATACTGTTCTGATCATGAACCACTTTTTCGACAGGTAAACTAATAATGTTTACGATATTACTGATTATTCTTTGTGAAACATTTATTCTAGTCCTATTCAACTATCTAAAGCTCAGTGTTACTTTTTAGAATAAATACAAAAATGTTCAATTTCAGTGTTGGGTTGGCCATAAGTTCCCCAAATTCCATGCCATACAAATCTTGGAATATTCTTTCCAAAGGTGGTAACAATGAGAAACTATTTATTTTTCATGTAAATTGAACTAAAGCACAATGAATCCCCCAATGGTAGTAGTAAGAAATAGTTATCCTATCGTCCCGAATGAGCTGAAACTCAATCAATTTTATCAAAAATAAACTCTTTAATTACATGTTAAGAAATAACATTTTGCATTTATATTTCATTTTTCCCAGGAATCTTATTTCCACTGGGCATTTGGAGTAGAAGAACCAGACTTTTATGGAGCAATAGATGTAGATAGTGGAAGAGCAATCTTATTCCCTCCCAATCTACCAGAATCATATGCTATTTGGATGGGCAGGTACCAAGTCAATTTTTGCTGAAGAACTAAGCTACAAAGATGCAGATATTTGAAAGCTGCATTCGCAACTTATTGCTTGATATTAGTAAAAATTTATGGCATGAACATTTTCCTTTGCATTCAGTACATGGTTTAGTAATTGACAAACAAGTCACTTAATCTCAGTTTTATCATGAATTTAACTTCTTTAGGTTTGAAAAATAAATTGGACCTCGGAGGAAAAATTACACATTTAGTGACACAAGAAGTAGAGAATTAATACCCATCATATTAAATTTTTTTTTTTATCATCTAGACTGTTGACACAAGAAGATTTTCGTGTAAGATATGGTGTTGATGATGTGTTTTTTTCAAATGATGTATGTACTATTTAATCTTAAGACCTTGTGATACAGAGGGTGGTCATTTGTCATCCATTGAGGTGGATGATTCTAAATACTTATGACAATTTGAAGAAGCTTGTCTTATTGATCTTATGAATGATAAATACATGAATTGATATAAATATTCTGTTCCATCGAATTTGAATATGGGGCTAGTTCAGTTTACCCAAGCTTTAAATCCACTTCCACATAGGGTGATATTGCATACAAGTATCTCCTAATAGACGTGCCGGAAAAAAACAGGTTGAATGAGATGGCAGTCTATCATAGGTTAAACATGGAATGGCGAGTACCAGTAGGAAATATTATCACCACCATTTTCTTGGTAACGGGTGCAATCAAGCCTTTTGAGATACAGTGTTCAATGGTACTGTTAAGGAACATTTCATTCCAAAGGCATTGCTCCTGGGTAAGTGGAATATAGCCTAATCAGAACTGTTATGGTGATGGCCTGCATGTGTAGTCCTGCCTACATTACCACCTTAGCTCTGATCCTTTGAGGGCTGATTCATATTAAGATTATGTGTTTGCAGCCTGGAACTCCTGATACATAAGCAAACATAATCATTTTTATACGTCCACATGGAAGTTCATAATATATGTTCTTCACATTAGTGAGATGAAGAAGCCTGTTGAATTTCAGCAAATTCTTTTAATTACTTCTAGAGTTATGGCCCTTGTTTCATCATCTGATCTGTTTTAAATTCATATGCATTATTTAGATAGAATTTCAGCAATTTCTGTTTATACCATCTAGAGTTATGGCCCTTGTTTCACTTTGTTGAACCTTGTGAACACTCTATCCACAAAAGTTATCATCCGATCTGTGTGAAATTGATATCAGTGTCTTATAAAACCTCTCATTACCTACAAAAGAATAAATATGCGACAACCTGTGTCGACAGTTTAGCTGCTGTGGCATATGTTTCATTGTCTGGCAACCTATCTTTTGTGAAACCAAAAACTTTGCAACAAGAATAGTCAAAATGAGTCTAAATTTTCTAAATACATTGTAAATAATAGTTTAACAATAGTTTTGTATGATTCTTGTTTCAAATTGTTAACAAGGCTTGTTTATTTCAGATTCTGAATATCCTAAAAGAAAAGTCACCATCAGCTCTTCTGACTCTGGTAAGAATATGTATTAGTATGTCTTGCTTTTATTCATTTAGACACATTAGCCGAATGATTCAGTCAAATCAATCGACGCCAAAATTCGCCTAGTGTGTCCGCTTCGCCAAAGCATTTGCCCGATTATAGAATTGATTAGCCGATAACCACTCATCGAGAAGTCACATGATTGTGTAAAGACATGGTCGCTGCTATGTTTAATCATGTGACGTGAAAGGTGATGCAATCATGCGAAGGATTCACCTCATGTGTCCACTCATTCAGCTGCAATTCAGGGCCGTTTGATTCAGTCAAATCATTCGGCTAGTGTGTTCACCACTTCAGAGTACTTTCTTTCTTTTTTACCCTACCAAAAAAGTATGAATCCCAGCTAAACACTGTATATATATATTATGTAACTGGCAAAATATTAAACATTAATTTTTATACGCCCACATTGAAATGTGGACGTATATTGCTGTCGCCCCTGTCCGTCCGTCTGTCCATCCGTCCAATAAAGTTATCATCCAATTGTTTTAAAATTGATATATATTGTTTACATTAGTGAGATGAAGAAGCCTATTTAATTTCAATAATTTCTGTTTATTACGTCTAGAGTTATGGCCCTTGTTTCACTTTGTTGAACCTTGTGAACGCTCTAATGCCAAAAGTTAACATACGATCTTTGTGAAATTTATATGCAATATTTAAGTTAGTGAAAAGAAGAAGCCTATTGAATTTCAACAATTTCTGTTTATTACGTCTAGAGTTATGGCCCTTGTTTCACTTTATTGAACCTTGTGAACGCTCTAACGTCAAAAGTTATCATTCGATCTTTCTGAAAATTGTATGCATTATTTAAATTAGTGAGACGAAGAATCCTATTGAATTCAGCAATTTCCATTTATAGCCCTTGTTTCACTTTATTGAACTTTGTGAATGCTCTAACTCCAAAAGTTATCATCCGATCTTTCTGAAATTTACATGCATTATTTAAATTAGTGAAACGAAGAAGCCTATTGAATTTCAGCAATTTCCGTTTATTACGTCTAGAGTTATGGCCCTTGTTTCACTTTATTGAACCTTGTGAACGCTCTAACGTCAAAAGTTATCATTCGATCTTTGTGAAATTTATATGCATCATTTAAATTAGTGAAACGAAAAAGCCTATTGAATTTCAGCAATTTACAATAATTACTTCTAGAGTTATTGCCCTTGTTTCACTTTGTTAAACCTTGTTAATGCTCGATTGGTGATAGTTATCATCCAATATGTATGAAATTTATATGCATCATTTAAATTTGTGAAACAGGTCTATTGAATTTCAGCAATTTCTGTCAATAATTTCTAGAGTTAGTAAATTAGTAAAACGAAAAAGCCTGTCAAATTTCTGTAGATTACTTCCAGAGTTGAGACCCTTGTTTCAGTTTGTAGAACCTTGTAAACCCTCAAACGACAAAATTGATAATCTGATCTGTATGGAACTGTCTTGTAAAGGCCCCCAATTACCTAAAAATGAATAAATATGCGACAACCCTTGACGACCGCTCGGACGATTTAGCTGCTGTGGGCGTATGTTTTGTTGCCTGGCAACCTATCTTGATAAAAACTTTCATACTAGTTACTGTGAAAGTTTAAAAATAATATAAAGAATCATTGGCATCTTTTGATTTTTAACAGAAAGGTCTAAATACAGACAGTAAACAGTTTAGTCGACCAGCTGCTTTTGATGGTATCAGTAAGTAAGTGTTTAATTATTCTATTATGACTAGGGGACATTGCAGGAATTAGAAACCAAGAAAAAGATAACTTACATGCTTTTAATCAGAAGATGCAATAAACTAGAAATGTGAATGTCATTATATCAATTAAATCATACAAAAATGATGCAAAATTATCCTGTCTAAAATTACAATGATTTTATGTTTTTCAGTTTTACTGTAAATGATGAATTACTACATCCTGTGATATCTGAATGGTAGGCTATTTGTTTGTTTTTGTTTGTATTAAATTATGATTATGCTGGATATTTTCATTTCTAATTGTTATATTTACCATGTAAGGCTGTGGTTCTCAACCTTTTTTAGGCAATGGCACACTTTAGAGCACACGAAAAAATAGCGGCACACCTGGCTAAATATATATGAAAAATATCTGAATTTTCAAAATAAAAACATGGCAAGTCATAGACGGCATACAACCGCAGACACAGGCTAGTCATAGAAAAATAGAATGGCTCAAACTAAATTAAGAACTATGAACGTACCAGTAGACACCAGTGAATACTCAATTGGGATCAAGTGGCTTTTCGCATTTTCTTGGTGTGCCGTTCAAAATTTCGCGGCACACTTAGGAAGATCTCGTGGCACACTGATTGAGAATCACTGATGTAATGTGACGTCCCCTACCCAAAAGACTTGCCCAACATCAGTCAAAGTCTTCCACAGGAGAATCAACAGTTGCTCAACATCTCAAGTTCAGTCCAATCAAGGCCACAAAATCCATTCATCTAAGACCCTAGCACTCACGCAAAATAACGAAAAGACCTGGAAAATGATAGAAGCCATACATATCGAGAGATCCAAACCAGACCTTAACCGAGACACTGGAATATTCCTCCCAAGAGCTGTTGACGATCTAATTCTAAACTGATGTGTACATTCCAAGACATATCCAACATGCATAAGTTTAAATTGAATTTGTGGAATCACGTGTCATTTAATTTTTGGAAATAGGTGTTATTTAATTTGTAGAACTCAAGTCTTCAACACTGATTAAGTATAAACCCAAATGGACATGGAATGTGTACAAATCAGTTTGCTGTTACCAATATGTTTTTTTTTTACTTTTAAGTTGTGTAAAAACGTGTGTGCTAATTTGGGTGAAAGTACGTATGACTGTGTAGTATCGTTTTCACAAATATATTCTTTTAATCATTGATTAAGTTGTAATCCAATTTGTATGGAAACATCCATTGCAACCCAATCTAATAGAGTGTGCTTATTTAAGTGGTGTTTACAAGATACAACCAATCCCCACAACTGGACAACTGTTAACACGACACAATGGTTCTATTCGTTGTTTGACAACATTTATTTGTTCTAATCTAAGTAACTGTATAAAATGGCAGCAATAGACCTCCAGGTGACACTTCTCATCCTTGTGTCAGTCCGTCGGATGAGAATACAACATCCATACAACATGAGTTGGTTGGATGTGACTGTTGCATCCGACGGTTGTCAGGATTGGTTGTATTGTGTAAATGCGGCTTTAGGAGACTGTGTGTAGGACTTTGTTGTATGCTTCTTAATACTTGTATTTTATTCATTATTATTTCACTTAATTATCATCTAATTATTCCATCATCATTAAGCATACATTATGCAAGAGCTAAATCTGCTTATTGCAGGTCTTTCTTTAGGCCTGAAATGTTTTCTAAATTATTAATTAGACAATTAACTTATCCAGGCCATAATCAACTCTCGATGGCATTGGATTTATCTGATATTAAATAGATTAGAACTGTTCAGCCATATTTTGATTTAAGCTAAAAATGGAGGAGCAAGACTTAGCTTCGAACAACCAGTACGGTGGTTGAAATTATTGCACACATCTTGTCAAACCTTCAAAGGCTAATATCTTCGTTCGCAATAGAGTAATTTGAATGAAATTTTTAGATTGTTCATTTTCCATTATCTATTTTCGAACTGTTATAGCAAGAATGGCTAGCTCTTTATTTGAATCTTACATAATGTATCTTTAGTATATCTGGAATTACTATTTCCCTGATGTGTCTGTATCTTGCCATTCATTGTTAAGTGTCATGTATGGCTTCACTTTTGTTTGTTATTTCGTTCTTTTGTTACTACCAATTTTCAAGCAATGAAATTTGATACAAATTTTTAACTATTTTTTAACTATAGTTCATCTATTTCGGGGGTTGAAATATGATGCCAGTCTTCCAATCATTCATGGAGCAACTGGGGTCCTTAAAATTTTCAACAAAGTTTGCGGGAGTCTTAAGGTATCTTAAATCTGAAGTTTAACTTTTTCAGTCGTGTTTTTAAATCAGATTTGGAGTTGCGAGTTATGAGATATGTCAATAAAGTAAGCAGTGAAGCTCATAAAGAGGTAAATAAGATATGTGGATATATTTTTAAATCTAAATACACAAGAAAATTCAAACAATGACATTTTTATTATATAATCATCTTCCTATTGATTTGTATGTATTTACCACATAATTAATTGAAATATTTTCATTGAATACATAAAATTACTCTGAGTATTCAAACATGAAACTTTATAATCAGAATTTATAACGGTGCTTTATATATTTATTATTACGGATTGTTTTTTCAACAGATAATGAAACTTGTTCGACCAGGTTTATATGAATACCAAGCAGAAAGGTAATTTTAAAATGTTCAAATTTATATCTTTCTTTGTTTTAATTTTGTTAAAAAATTGTTTTTGAAAAATAGACGTACTCATGTGTTTAGTGTTGGTTTTTTATAAAAATAGAAACTATGTTTTCAATGTTTTATTACAGTAAATATGGTGATTATTGTCATTTTAATGGTGGATTTAGAAAATTGGCTTATATTTGTGTCTGTGGAAGGTAAAAACCATTATTTGGTCCAAATGAATATTTTTATTTTTATTATTTTATTACAGTAAATATGGTGATTATTGTTATTTTATTGGGGGATTCAGACGAATGTCATATGTTTGTATCTGTGGAAGGTAAAACCTTTATTCACCTGTTTACATTTACAATTACCCACCTGTATAGAAAGCCTCAGGAGCCAAGTGGCGAAGTGTGTAAAACGCTGGCTTGCTAGCCTGAAGGTCGCGTGTTTGATTGCTGCATTGACTGAGAAAGTTCATCAGGCTTTTCGGATGTGGTTTCCCCATGTCAGTGGTACAGGACGGAGGGGCTGACAAGGACAGCTGTCTAGTCGATTGGATAGGATGGAAAACCGAGGTCCATTGAAATGCACGTAAAAGAACCCTTGGCAGTTGGAATTCTCAGCTTGGTCAAATATGCATTATTTAAGAGCTAAATCTGCCTATGGATGTTATATAAATTATTATTTAGACATGTATTCACATGACATGCCTATAATCCACTCTCTAGAACATCAGATGGTGCAGATTTAAACGGATTGAAACACGATTGCCATTTAATGAATTAATTTAACAAGTACCCTTGCTACGATGATAAACCATCTGTCAAAAACTGCAAACAGTGATAACTTCACTCAGAATAAAGTAATTTGAATGAAATTTTCAATATATTGGTTTTGGATTATCTATTTTTGAACGGCCAGCTCTTTATCTAAACCTTACGTAATGTACGGTATCTTTAAATAAAAGGCCTGTACATGTTTATAACAGAAACATTACTCATATTGACATTTTGGATTGTTTGAGTTGTTCTGTTTTTTTATTGGGTAGTTAGTGTGGCACCGTCATTTAGGAACTGCTGGCATCCTATGCTCAGTCTATGAATTCATTATGTTTATGTTAAACAAATATAGATTGTAATTTTTGAGAAACACACTAGATTTGGGCTTTACAAATAAGGCCATACCCAAAAAATATTATGGTTCTCAGACAATCCTTACCAAAAATTTGATGCGAGAGGGGTGTTTTTATTTTTGTGAGTATATTTTGTCAAAGGATCACTACTTGGCTAAATGTCTCATATGCACATCAAATTGTTGTTTATAGGAATGTATGATTATCCAGTATCAGTTATGATTGTCATCAGGGTTGTAACCAGGATAAAATATTTACTTGATGATTCTGTTTTAATTTTTTTGAAATAATAACAGGCTTTGAAGTGATGCAGGATTATCTGATAACCAGAATATTTTTATACACCCACATTTTCATGTGGACGTATATTGTCGTCGCCCCTGTCAGTCCGTCCGATTTTGATGAAACTTAAAACATATTTTTATATCCCAAAGATCTCTGTCCCTTTTGATATTTGCACGTTTCAGGCCATAACTTTCTGGATTATTGCCCCTGATTAAACAAAAAATCATGTTTGTTTTTAGCTTGTTCTCTATCCATCTCTTGCAAAATGTGAGCGTATCCTGCCTGCCAGCCGCTGGTTTACATGACCTAATTGTTGTGTTAGGAACATTTTTTTATCATTTCAGCATGTAAGATGATTTTGTTGCTTTAATATAATATTTTCAAATAATGAGAATAAAATGAATTTTTTTATTTAAGTGGTAATAACGGTGCTACTTTGCATTATGGCCATGCTGGTGCCCCTAATGCTAAACGTATTGAAAATGGGGATATGTGGTAAGTGATATATATTGTTTTATACATTTTCAAATGAATCAATACAGCTATTTTTAAAATCTATGGTAGACGATTGTATAAAATCTGGTTAATTTGTTCATTTTCTAATGATACACGGAACTGTGGGTAAACCAATAAAAACGTCAACGCTGATTGATAATCAATGTCTGACGTCATAGGGTCAAAAGTCGTTCGTACAACCTCTGACGCTACCTTTTACTACAACCGGTCAGATCTTCATTTAGTGCAGGCCATCGAAAGTATAAAAAAACGAAATGAAATATAAACCTGTGTTTTAATCAGATTGATTGACCCAGTGTACTTTTTATGTTACTGTCTACATGAATGCTGAAAATGCTATTATTAGGTTACATCTATTTCATGGCACAATTTTTATGTTATTGTCTACTTGAATGCTGAAGATGTATGATGTTATATATATTTCATGATAAGTACAATCATTATTTTATTGTCTACCTAAATGCTAAAGACGCTATTATGACGCAATTTCTATGAGGAGAGTGTCTGAGTGTTGTAATTTATTTGATTTTCAGTCTGTTTGATATGGGAGGTGAATATTACTGTTATTCATCTGACATCACATGTTCATTCCCAGCCAATGGAAAATTTACTGCAAAACAAAAGGGAATTTACGAAGCCGTATTGAAGGCAAGTCGAGCTGTGATGCAGCAAGTCAGACCTGGTAGGTGAAGAGTAAATTAAGATGGTATTTGTTTTTATACGCCCACGTTTTCATGTGGACGTATATTGTCGTCGCCCCTGTCCGTCCTGACGTCCGTTCACAATTTGTTTGTGGACACTCTACAGTAGGGTGGCCCAAAAATCACTTACTTTCTCAGAACCTCACACTTTTTTGATATATGGTGAGGTTGGGACAGTAATACAAAAATATGATTTTTTTTTGAAAATTAGATCATCCTCTAGGGGTCCCATCTGCCATTTTCCAAGATGGCGGCCAATATGGCTGCCAAAATCAGTTTTTGTCATATGATTTTCACATTTTTGATAAAACATCACTTGTAATATGTCCTTTATAGGGTTTTTGGGGTCAAGGAATTCGAATATGCTAGTGACGATGATGTCACTAAATCCAAGATAGCAGAAATCCAAGATGGCATCATAATTACCACAAAATCAGCCAAAACTATCCATTTAAACATTAAAATAGCCCATCTATCATTATATTCGATCATTATATCCAATCAATATATCAGACATTCAGATAGGATTTCTATATATCCATGTAAAACATATTTTTTATTAAGTAGAACTAGAATAGTAGCCCCTCAAACCAGTAGAAAAGATGAACTCCTAGTAGACGTTTAAGGTTGTATTTATTTAGACGTTTCGGACTAAGGTGTCCTTCCTCAGTAAATGAGTTGGATGAAGCGAAGCGTGCGGTATTTATACTAATTGATTGTGACGTAACGTGATTATTTAGGATGGTTTATGAGTAAATTGGATTAATAAAATCTAAAGTTTTGAATAAAATTGTATATATACCGATCGATTTGCGGTAACATGATGGGATGATATGATTTATACAGATGATTAACAAATTTATCATATACAAATTGATTTAAAAATTGAAATTAATAATTAAAAAGTTAAAAAATTCTTTTTTAAAAAAATTAGAGTTCTTAATTTTAAATTATGCAGGAACAGTTCTTATTCTTCAGAAAGATATATTAAATTCTTCTAAAATTTGGTTAAAGTTCAATTGGTGATATTCGTTGGATATCACATCGTGATCTGACACTGTCGGTGTTGGTGGTGTCTCTGTGTTTGATGTTGTGGATTCTTCCGTGCTGTTTAGTTGATGAAAAAATTCTTCTAAGCTTTTGAAATCGGTATCCTCCTTAACCGGGCTTAAGGTGATGGCTTTGTCCTCGGTGTTGGATTCAACTCGGATGATTGGAGGTTGTGGGCGAGCCTCAAAAGGAGGGATCCACTCACTAGGTTTGACCGGCACGCAAGATGGATGGATGTCGAGCCCGATTTTTTATAGTGAGCGGTCCGTTGTATGCTGTTTCTTTACTTCAAGAATCTGTGTCTTGCTGCAGTTGTGATCTTTTGAAAGGTGTCTGTATAAATTAGAACGCCATTGGTACGGGCGGCCGCATTCTTTACAGTGATTGATAGGCATGTTGAAAAAAATCTTATTTCTTAGGAATGGTCATTAATGCCTCCTGGGTAACTGGTGCCTAAGAATTGGATGAGGCTTTCTTCGTGTCTCAGCCATTTATTCAAATTGCGTGACGTTGTGCTGAGAATAATGACGTCAGGTTTGTGATTGGTTTCCTGGAAATGGTTGCTGACGGGGGTCTCCTTATTCGTTCTGATATCACTAAGATGATTGAGGAAACTTTTTTTACAGTTATCGCTCGTTTGCCCTATGTATTGTGAACCACAGAACGAGCAAATGATCGCGTAGATTACGTACGGGGTTAAACAGTTTAGATGTTGGTTAATTTTGAAAATATTCGAGTTAATTTTGAATTTTATAAAAGTATTTTCCTTGAGGTGTCGGCATAATGTGAAATTCCGTCCACACTTCTTGCATCCTATTGGGCTGGTTTTCCTGAGGGCGATGTCTGATTTGATCAGCATGTCTCTTATATTATTGTTTCGTTGGTAACATACAATTTTCCTGTCAGCTATGAACTTAGTATCCATGTTTAATTTAACTATACTGAGTTGATTGTTGATGAGTTTGTGGTGGTTGAATCCTGGGATATACTTGGTGCTAAATACGATGGCGCCTTGAGTTCTCTTTTCCTTTTGGACTAATAGGTCCGCTCGGGGTTGTGATCTGGCTCGGTCGAAGCACGATGCTATTGAACTTAATGGGTATCCTCTTTTTAAGAAGTTTTTTCGGCAGATCTTAAGCGAATGGTCGCTGTCTTCTAGCGTACTTGAAATACGACAAATTCTTAAAGCTTGGCTGTATGGGAGGCTTCTTTTCAAGGGCTCTGGATGGCAGCTGTTGTAATGGAGATAGAAGAAACTATCTGTGGGTTTTTGGTAGAGGCGTGTTTGAAGGTGCTGCAATTCGTCTTGATAAACTGTGACATCTAGGAAGTTGATACTTGTGTAGCTGTGTTCTAGTGTTAATTTGATGCTAGGTATTGTAGAGTTGATCCCTTCCATGAATCTATTGAGATTCTCTAAGGTGGAGGGCCACAGGAAAAATATATCATCAATATATCGCCACCAAACAAGTGGTTTGATGGGACTTCTGTTGAGTATCTCTTCTTTGAATTGGGTCATGAAATGATGAATATACAGGCGATGTTGGGTGCAGCTTTGGTTCCTATTGAAATACCGTTGGTTTGTAAGTAAAATTTATCATCAAATCTGAAGCAATTTTTGGTTAAAATTAGATGGAGCATACGTAAGAGCAGCCAAGTAGGTGTGGTTTGTTCAAGTCTTTGTTGAAGTTTGTCTCTGCAACTTTTGATGGCTAGATTGAATGGGATTGAGGTGTAGAGGGAGGATACATCTGCTGTGCATAGTATAGTATCAGGTGGTAGCGGGCCAAGAGCGTTGAGTTTCCTGAGAAAATCTGTGGTGTCCTTGATATAAGACTTAGACTCTGTGACGATGGTTTAGGTTTTCTCGGATGTTTTACTTTAAGAGATCTGGCGGTTCTTTTATCCAAAGCTCCTTGTCTTTCTGCAAATTTGATAAATTTGTGGATTTCTGCATTAAATGATAGAGTGAGGTCCTGTGCCAGGGGTTTATAGAACTTGCGTTTTTTTAACTGCCGTAGTCCTTCGTTGATATAATCCGTTCGGTTTAGGATGACAATTTTGCCGCCTTTGTCGGCCGGTTTGATGACAATATCTGTGTTTTCTTTTAGTTCTTTGAGAGCGGCTAGAAATTTTTTGTTGATGTTGCTGGTCTTCTGAATCTTGGTGGGAGTTTTGCTGGTGATTTCATGACTGGTTACGTGAATGAATCTTTCTAAGGTGTGGCAGTGGCTTATGGGTGGGGTCCATCCGGATTCTAATTGGATAGGGTTATTAGAAAGGCGAGGGGGGTGGTCCCTGAAGAAATGTTGTAAGCGTAAGCTTCTTTCGAAAATTTTGTTTTCCATAATGGTTTCAATTTCATTTTTATAGCAGGGGGTAGGTATAAAGTTTAGTCCATAGGCAAGGGCTGTGAGGTGGGTGGGTGAGAGGGGGCTGTTGGATAAATTAATTATTAGATCGTGGAGTTCTGGCATCGTTTCTTGTTTTCTCTGGAATTAATTTTTTATTAATGCACTTCATTAATACTGATATCCATTTAAACATTAAAATAGTCCATCTATCATTATATCCGATTATTATATCTAATCAATATATCCGACATTTAGATAGGATTTCTATATATCCATGTAAATCATTTTTTTTTTTATTAATGCACTTCATAATACTGATATCCATTTAAACATTTAAATAGTTCATTTATCATTATATCCGATTATTACAGTCAAACCTCACTAAGTGTCATCTTGATAACTGAGAAACCTGCTAAATGGAACACTTTCTCCAAAGTCCCGAGGTGTTTAAATAATCGAGGTTTGACTGTATATCCAATCAATATATTCGACAGTTGTATAGGATTTCTATAGATTATATCCGTGTAAAACATATTTTTACTAATGCCTTCACATATCTACAGTTCACAATTTGTATCCGATTTTGACGACACTTGAAATATAGGTCTATCTCCCAAAGATCTTGGTTCCTTTCGATATTGGCATGTATCAGACCATAACTTCATGGATTATAGCCCCTGATTGTGCGAAAAATCATGTTTTTAGCTTGTGGACACTCTAGAGGTCACAATTTGATCAGATTTTGATGAAACTTAAAATGCATGTTTATAACCCAAAGATCTTTGTTCCTTACGATATTCATGCATATCGGATCGTAACTTCCTGAATTATGACCCCTGATTGTATGAAAAATCGTGTTTTTAGCTTGTGGTCCGCCTGGAGGTCACAATTTTTAGCCGATTTATAAAAACGTTTTAGTATATCACCGTTACACCCTAATGTTGGTTGAGTTAGAATTTCGTGAAAATCGGACCAAAATGGACGCCCCTCGTATGCAAATAGTGTAAACATCTGGTATATCAAGGTTGTGGACCTCCTAAAAGGTCACAACTTTGATCTGATTTTGATGAAACTTGAAACGCATGTTTATAACCCAAAGATCTTGGTTCCTTTCGATATTCGTGCATATCAGATTGTAACTTCCTGAATTATGGCCCTTGATTTACGAAAAATCGCCTTTTGAGCTTGTGGTCCCTATAGAGGTCACAATTTTTATCTGATTTAAAAAAAAAACAAAAAACGTGTGAATATATCACAGTTATACACTAGTGATGGTTGAGTTTGAATTTCGTGAAAATCAAAAAAAACTAATGGAGATAATGGCCGCCTTTTGTACGCAAAAAGTGTCAAATTATGGTATATCAAGGTTGTGGGCCCTCTAGAGGCCACACTTTTTATTCGATTTGGAAGGAAACTTTAAATATATGTTTTTATTATAATGATCTTGGTTCATTTTGATAACCACACATATCAGAACGTAATTTCCTGGAATATCGCATATTTAGCTTGTGGATTCTCTAGAGGTCACAATTTTTGTTCCCATTTTAAAAACCGTTTAGATATATCACCATTCCACCATAATGAAGGTTGAATTGGAATTTCGGGAAAATTGAAATGAAACTGACCGACAAAATGACTGTTCTTTGTACACATATTGTGTATAAGTATGTAATACAAAGGTTGTGGCCCCTCTAGAGGTCACAGTTTTTATCCGATTTTGTTAAAACTTATATCGTTATATTCCAAAAATCTCAGTCCCTTTTGATATTTGTGCATTTCAGACAATAACTTTCTGGATTATTGCCCCTGATTGTTCAAAAAATTATTTTTTGTTTTTAGCTTGTCCTCTATCCATCTCTTGCAAAATGTGGGCGTATCCTCCTTTAAAGGAGTAATGGATAGAGGTTATATGATCCGTAATTTTCCAATGATCAACATATTCTTAAAATTTTGTACTTCATTCTATACACGTAGACTTGAATGAAAAATTACATATACTGTGACCCCATGAAAACACAGCGCTTTGATAAACTGATGATACTAAATCTTGTTTGAGATACACTTGAATCTTGCAATTCTGAATGTATCTACATCAAATCCCACCGGGATCTGCGCCCATGACTGGCAGTTACCTGTGCTACTGTGAGTGGTCCAAGTCCACGTGGGTTCATCGTTTGTCGCCGACTACGTTTTGCTGGACTGTGTGAAACATGCTTAGGTTTTATTGTTACCCTTTGTGCATTTTCAGTTTATATTAAATTATCTTGATACCTCTTCTCATGGAGCCAGTATTTGATATTCTTAAAACATCTGTTATTAGGTGTATCTTGGGTTGATATGCATAAGTTATCAGAGAGAACAGAACTAGAAGCCCTGAAAGCTATTGGTATTGTTAGTGGTGATATTGATGAAATGATGAATGTAAGATTAGGTGCAGTATTTATGCCACATGGTTTAGGGCATTTTATGGGTATTGATACACATGATGTTGGTGGGTATCCTGCAGTAAGTATAGAACAATAATAATAGTATATTACACATGACTTGACATCCTATCAAAAAGCACACATATGTTTTGTGGCTAGTTCCTGCCAAATAGGCAGGGGCGGATTGGGCCATTGGGCCGGTCGTACAAAAAATGAAAAAAAATTTTTTGTCCAATTCATCTAAAAAACCTTTTTCTGCTGAACATTATATGGGGGGAGGGGGATATTGGACCGGCCATGGAGCGATGATGATCATGTATGTGGCCGGTGGCTTTAACGGGCCACCATGACATCACTGGAGTCTGGAATGGGATGGTATAATAGACTTTCTGGGCCGGGTGTGCTGGGTGTGGGCCGGAATTCGGAATCCTGCAATAGGGATTCCGAATTTCATCCGAAAATTTCATCGGATTCACCCTACACTGTCGCCCGCAAATTTACTAATTATTATATATGACGATATGATAATTTCACCGGTTGATTATTGTAAATTACTTGCAGGTCAGGGTTTTTCCCGGGGAGAACCCTCGGACCCCCCGTCTGGTCTCCGCGGACAAAAAAGGGGCCGCTCTGACACGGGAGCCCGGGCCGGTTCCCGGCCCCAATCCGCCCCTGCAAATAGGTTTTGGTGTAGATGAATGAATGAATAATAAAATGGAGTTTAACATCATACTTTTCTGTTCCAAATGTGTTTAGGTTGGAAATTTGGCCCGAACAGAACTTGAATTCGAACTGTCAAGGGTTCTGTTGCGTGCACATTGTCCTCATCATTTTCTATCCCATCTAAACAACTACATGCTGCCCTTCTGGAATTTCAATATATTTAATACTTGTAGACTGAAGTGTATTGCAAGGCAATCTTTCAAACATTCTAAGTTTTGTTATTTCTAAAAATATCCCTTATTCCACATTCTGTTTTGTCCGTCCACATTTTCTTGTGAACACTCTAAAGACTTCATTTATCATCTGATTGATTTGAAACTGATATGAAATTTATATGCATTATTTAAATTAGTAAAAATGAAAATTTTTGTTGAATTTCAACAATTTCTGTAAATTACTTCCAGAGTTAAGGCCCTTGTTTCAGTTTGTAGAACCTTGTGAACCCTCTAACGATGAAAATTTTCTGATCTACATGAAATTGTCTTGTAAATGCCCCCAATTATCTACAAAAGAATAGATATGTTGCAACCCTTGTCGACAGCTGGTCGAATTAGCTGCTGTGGGCGTTTGTTTTGTTGTCTGGCAATGTATCTTTAACTCAATTAATGTGTGATATCTATTTAAATAGGGTGTTGAGAGACCAGAAGGAGCAGGTATACAATCCTTAAGAACAGCTAGAACATTAGAAGCCAGAATGGTAATAACCATTGAACCCGGCATATATTTTATAGATGCTGTAAGTAATTAATAAAATATTGAGTTTGTTTTGATCAGTTATGTCAAGGTATGTCATTGTTGGTATCCGAAATGACTAAAGGAAAAATTTGCAACAAATGAAGTGTGTGGGATGTAAGAAGTATCACCTCTTGTCATCCATGCATATGTGGTAGATTATTAACTTGAAAATAATATGATATATTATTCATTTCAACAGACTGATCAGCCTTTTCAAACATGTGACATTTACAAATTAGATTGCATGATTTTGGATCAAATTTGTATAAAAATAGGAACAATAAAGATAGCATTGTTATTGTCCAAAATAGAATATTAAACGAGTTAAGGTTGAAGTTTAAAACCATTATAAATTACTCTGCATATTTTGTGTCCAGTTTAAATTATTATTTTGATCTTTATAGCTCATTGATGGTGCCTTAGCTAATCCAGAACAAGCTAGATTTATCAACAGAGATCTTCTCAATCAGTATAGAGGATTTGGTGGGGTAAGGTTCTCATAAATAAAATTTTCTTCCTTGATTGGCATTTAGTAATTGAACATATTAACACAAGGTACAATTTTATGGCTACACAATTACTGAGTTTAATATTAAGCGAAGTTTCGATGAGGATACTCTCGTCTTTATCAAGCAAATGATAAAGACAAGAGTATTAAACTCAGTAATGCATCCATAAAATTGTACCTTGTGTTAATAAATAAAATTGTTTGTGTTATGATAACATCCAGTTAAGTTAAAAAGCATTATTGCTATATTTCTGTATAGAAGAAGTTTTCAGTCTTGATGTGCCTAGAGTAGGAAATGTAGTATAGAATTTTCAAGGATAATAATAAAATTATTGCCCTAGTAAATTTAAAATACAAGTTTGTATAGTGATGACATGATATTGCTCCATAGTTTTAATTAGCAGAAGTGATTCCAGGTATCTAGCAATTGGTTATTTTCTTTTACATTTGTTTTGTTGCTTACATTGTCTTCACTACAATATTTTGATCCTTACATGATTAGACTTATCAACATAAATTAATAATATTTTCCATTTTATGATTAAAGCTATTCATCACACACCTTTGTATCAACCTTGGAATGCCTCTAACATCAACTGCAATGAAAGTTAACATTAAGGCCAATTTTCTATGTGCGCGTTGTTGCAGCATTTTCAGCGCGTGAAAAAGTTGGTCTAATGCAAATGCGAACATGGAAAACTGGTTTAAATGTAGCTGCATACAAATCACTGATTAGATAACACATAGTAGAAATAGTACCCTTTTTTGTCAGAACAACTCTTGTATATTTACAATTTCTTGATGATTTCAGGTGAGAATTGAAGATGATATTGTGATTACGGAAGATAGTATGGAACTATTAACAGACGTTCCTAGAACTGTAGAAGAAATAGAAGCTTTGATGGCAGAAGGCAGACAATCCCATGCTCCATTGCCTCAAGATACTTGTGGATGATTGGCTTTCTTTCAAAACTGTTTATGACATATATCTCATTTCAAAATTTGTTACTTACATGCTTATTAGTAAAAGATAATAGATAAGTACATAATATATAAGTATATTTTATTCATTTTTATTCATATATTTTTATTCAATATAAATGAATAGGAGATCGCGGAACAGGCAAAATGTCCTATGTCAGACCCCTTTCTCCCTATATAAGTACATCTTTTATTAAACAAATATCCTATCATTTAAAAATCAATTGCTTGTAATATTGTTATGAATATTTATTGGGCAAAATAGAATTATTTTTATTTAAAATTTTCAGATATATAGATGTACAAAATTTGTAAGCTTATATACTATTTGGTCATTGCTATAGGTTAGGGGTTGGCAGCGCCGGATTAAGACCCACAGAGGCCCTAAGCACTTAAATGATTTTGTTGCCACCATATATGTATAATTCAAAACATAAGAGTAAGTGCAGGGGGACTGTACCACACACAAACAAATATACAAGATAAATCTAAGGACAAGACACAATATACAGACATCACAACCAACAAACTACATATCAGATCAAGTGAATGGATCTGGGGGCTAGCCTTAAGCGTCCACTGTGCTGTACAGTCCCGGGCCTGTAGTGATACAGACTTCACTCAAAATGAAAAAAGAACTAACAATAGGGGAATATTTCCCAAATGTTGTATAATACTAATGTGAGTCATAACAATATTTATAAAGCATCAACAACTGTTGAGCAGTGGTTAGAGTTTTCCTGGGGTTTTATGCATGTGATTATTAATCGCGACAAAACAGGTAACAGTAAGAAAAGACAAAAAAAATGAAAAACTAATAATAAGATCATAACTAATTTTTAAATTTAATTTTTTAATTTTGGCATGTAACAAAGCAGACGTTCTGCCTTAAGCACATGCTTATTTTGCTTAATGATTAATCCAGCAAGCCCTGAAGATTTGGGGGCAGTACTAAGAGAATCGTTACAGATTTATGATTAAAACCATTGTTTTAACACTGAATTAAATAAAAAAAATTATGCTCAAATTAGTGTCCATTTGATATGTTCTTGCCTCTTGGTGTATGCCTTTGTTTATATCCACATAAACTAATTGACATTCCTCAATCACTCTTCAGTATTATGACTAGTCTAGCACATATATTTATCTGTTATCAAAATGTTTTGTTTTTTACTACAGAAAACATTATTCTGACATTTTTGTACATAAAATATATTTGTGTCATGTCACTAATCTACAGAATAAATTTTTTAATACACGCTCAGGTTTTTCTAAAGTAAGTCTAGAAGATCATTTTCATTCCATCTATTTTGCCAAATTATATTTAAAGAACAGGTATCGGGTGGAAATTATATAATGTTGTCCAAAAGTAGGGTGCTCCGTGCAACAAAAATTTTCTCTACTAAAAGTTGAACACAACATAGCGAATGTGCTCGCTTCAGTGGCTTGTCTCAAGAGTGATTTCTGGCCAGTCACGCAGTACGATAACACTCGTGTGAATCTTTAAATAGCCATCGCACGTGAAATTCTCTACACATCTATCAACTATTACAGCCGTAAAAGATCTATTATTGATGATTCTAAATAGCAGTAATATTTAAGATTTTGGTTATTACAGCAGCTTTAGAAATTATGTTCGTTTTAATTTTTAAATTGCTTCATCATTAACTATACCGTTAGGAGCGGCATCTTTTGATTTAGTACAAATAATATCTCTGAAACACTCGGGTTAGGCAAGAACATGATATTAGCAGTAGTTTCATTTTACTTTTACAAGGTTCTTAAAACGATTGTTGAGTTGCCTAACGTGCATGTTTCTCAATTCAATTTCTTGTTCCAACTTTCTGTTATGTTTCGTATAAAAGTAGTCTTGATTATCCTGGCCTGTCAATCAGATGGAAAATGGTCGGTAGACTGGTTAAAGGAGCTAAGTCGCTAATATTTGGGACCTAGAAAATTGACACAAATGGGTCGCAACGCATACAATAATGTAATATGAATTTATATAAATTGATTTACATTCAATCGTTCCTTTTTTACTGTAATTTCTAATCAGTTAGGTTCGGCGACATACGCCAGTATTCTCAATTGAATTTAAATCTCTAGCTTCTGGTTATTCCAGTCTACGCCAATAGTATTTATTGGGCATGCTCTCCAGATAAGAATATAGCGTCGTTGTTTGACATGACTTGTGGAATATGCCTAACTCGGTTTTTCGAGACCCTTATTACAAATAGCGCTGAAACGCATTATGGTACATGATTCGTGTACCAATTGTAAAATGTTTATTTTGTCTTAAATACTGGATATCAGAAGGCCATCTTTTCACGGTAAGATCACAACATCAATGTTGATTTAAACCGACAAATAAATCGTGTTTTCAATGTCGAAGATTTTGGATGATATTGAGTTAGAGACTTAGCTACTTTAAGCGAGACTAATTTCAAAACAAGAGCATGTAACCTATTTTTGACTCAAAAGTGCCCGGATGTTATTACCGACCTTCGTAACCATGTTTCAGTCTGTTATTTATGGATGGTTACCGGTAAGTACAACATGACCGTTTATTTAGTGACTATAAATGTGCGAATCTGATTTAAGGCTTGGTATATATATATATAAATATTGTGGTGTAATTGTCAAGATATTTGGAGATATTTATTTATAGTGGGGCACCCAACTAAAAGAAACTTTGAGAGACTTTTGAATAAAAATCCAAATATGTTCCATATTGAAATGATACATATTGAAATTCAAAACAAACTGTAGTGGATATATCAATTGTACTTGACTACTTATTTAAACAATTTTCTTCTTTCTCTTGTTTCAAAATGTTGGTATAGTTTTGTTTTATGCAAGACATCTTCCTGAGCATGAAAAAGAAAAAACACCAATTCCTGATGACTGGGTTGTAATGTGGTATGACATGTCATACCGTAGGATTTGTATGCTAAAATTGATTTTTTTTCTTTCTTGTTTTGTGTTGATGTTGGACCAAGCTATCCAAAAATGTTGGGGTTCAAATTTTCCGCCCCCTTGACCCTTCTGAGAGGGGCATTTTTGAAATCGGGACCCCTCTGAATGAGAACATGCCAATAATGGTTGGATTTTCATGATCTGAAGTCCATTCTCATGTTTTTTCATCGTGCCGACCCATCTATGATACACTTAAAACGATTGGAAGTAGTTTTCATTGATTTCCGGTGGGGAATACCAATTTCCGGTTTCAAACTCGGACTGATTTCAGCCAATAATCTTTGGATTTTCATGATCTGAAGTCATTCTGTTTTTATACGCCCACATTTTCATGTGGACGTATTATGCCGTCGCCCCTGTCCGTCCGTCTGTCCACAATTGTTTGTGGACTCTCTACAGGTCACAATTCTTATCCGATTTCGACGAAACTTGAAATATAGGTTTATCCCCAAAAGATCTTGGCTGCTTTCGATATTGGCATGTATCGGATCGAAACTTCATGGATTATGGCCCCTGTTTGTACGAAAAATCACGTTTTTAGCTTGTGGACACTCTAGAGGTCACAATTTTTATCCGATTTTGTTGAAACTTGAAATGTAAGTTTATAACCCAAAGATCTCAGTTCCTTTCGATATTTGCGCATATCGGACAGTAACTTCCTGAATTATGGCCCCTGATTGTACGAAAAATCGCGTTTTTAGCTTGTGGACCCTATAGAAGTCATAATTTTTACCCGATTTAAAAAAACGTATTATTATATCACCGTTACACGCTAAGGACGACTGAGTTTGAATTTCATGAAAATCGGCCCAAAATTGACAGACAAAATGGCCGCCGTTCATTCTCAAATAGCGTAAAAATATGGTATATCAAGGTTGTGGACCCTATAGAGGTCACAATTTTTATCCGATTTTGTTGAAACTTGAAATATAAGTTTATAACCCAAAGATGGTGGTTCCTTACAATATTTGCCCATATCGGACCGTAACTTCCTGAATTATGGCCTCTGATTGCTCGAAAAATCATGTTTTTAGCTTGTGGACCCATTAGAGGTCATAATTTTTATCCGATTTAAAAAAACGTATTATTATATTACCGTTCCACCCTAAGGACAGTTGAGTTTGAATTTTGTGAAAATCGCCCCAAAATTGACAGACAAAATGGCCGCCGGTTGTTCTCAAATAGCGTAAAAATATGGTATATCAAGGTTGTGGACCCTATAGAGGTAACAATTTTTATCCGATTTTGTTGAAACTTGAAATGTAAGTTTATAACACAAAGATCTCAGTTCCTTTCGATATATGCGCATATCGAATTGTAATTTCCTGAATTATGGCCCTTGATTGTAGGAAAAATCACTTTCTTGTTAGCTTGTTCTCTATCCATCTCTCGAAAATGTGGGCGTATCCTGCCTGGCAGCCGCTGGTTAAATTTATACACAGTGTTTAAGGTCATGAGACGAAGTAGCCTATTGATTTTCAGCGATTTCAGATAATTACAGCCAGAGTCATGGCCCTTGATCACTTCAAAATATCTTGTGGATGCTCTAGAGACGAAAGATAATATCCTATTTACTTTAAATTTATACACAGTGTTTAAGGTCATGAGACAAAGAATCCTATTGATTTTCAGCGATTTTGGATAATTAAATTTATATGCAGTCTCTGGGGTCATGAGATGTAGAATCCTATTGATTTTCAATGATTCCCGATAATTACTGCCAAAGTTATGGCCCTTGATCACTTTGAAAAATCTTGTTACGCTCTAGAGGCTTATGTTATCATCCGATTGACTTCAGATTGATACATCGAGTTTAAGGTCTTGAAACGAACAAGTATATTGATTTTCTATGATTTTTAATAACTTGAACAGCTAAATCCATGATATTAAATATTTTGTATACTAAACGTTAGCATGTGTCAGAAATTGATACATAGAGTTTAAAGGGCCAATCCCGATAATATTTTAGAGAATAAAACTGCTTAATTTTGTGTTAAAATCCCCTAAAATCCTCTACCTCAAGCCGAGAAACTAACTCAATATATGTGATATGTTTTCAAACAACTTAAACCCGTCAGTCTTCATCTGGAAATGGAGACCGGTGTCCCAACCGGTATTATACGGTGTCTGGATAAAACCAGACTTTTATTTTATAAAAATAATGTGTAGGTGAAATTTACCTTTCGTTATCAAGTACAGCACATGGGTCAATCACTGTATAGACCTCTAAAGGAACGGAAATCGATTATCAGGTCACCCAACAAAAAAATCAACCCAAAATCTTAAAAGGGTTACGTGTCCGGATAAGCAGTTTTGACGTTCATGTCCAAACGACTCAATATTTTGGGCTGCAATTTTGAGACAAGCTAAATACAACCTTCCTCTATATTTTTGCGCTTAAATTTCATACATACTCGGATTTTATTTTTGAGGCTCTGTTCAAATCGGGATAGCATGGGGCAGAAATTTATAAACACCAAACAAATTCTAATGATTTTCTGATAATTACTTAATGAGTAGTTACTCTTTAATCAGATTTTAGTGTATTATAAATGTTTCATTACTGAAAAAGTAAGAATATGCGACAACTCTTGTTGACTGCCCAGACGATTTAGCTGCTGTGGGCATATGTTTCGTTGCCTGGCAACCTACCTTTTGTTAAATTTGTCTGTCAGTGTCTTGTTAAATCCTTTTTTTGTATTCAGTTTCTATAGTAAAACATTCTATACAAAACCAGGACTATAAGATGAAATCAATTTCCTAACCATACAATAATGACCTCAGGAATGATACTGGCTTCCTAACCTGGCAAGGAACGGAAAATGGAAGTCCTCTGTGAACACTTTGGCGTGCACCCAAATCAACCCATGAAGTTCTAAATTTTTCTAACAGCACATTGTATGGTGGGTGTATTAGCCTTCATTAGCCTTATTGGTGCAGAAAATTTGGACATTAAACACCCATTTCATTCGGTCAGGGATATTAGCAGTGGGGGGAAAAAACTTGAGAAGGCCGACAACACTACTCCTGGTGAACTACCACAATCAAGGAATTGATGTCACTGTCAACCTACATTTAACACCTTGGACTAACCAACCCTGGAGCAACAGTGGCTCAAGTAAGACATTTCCTTGCTAACCTAGGGGCTCCTTGTTCAATCTTGTTGTGGGCAGAGAAAGTTCATCTGGATTTTCTGACGTGTTCCCCCTTGTTAGTGGTGCAGGACAGAGGGCCTGGCCGGGGACAGAAGACTGAGGTCCCGTGTACACATTGGTGCACATGTGAAAGAACCCTTGGCAGTTGGTATGTGCTGTAAGAGTAGGCCATAGCGCCGCTGTTTGGGCCAAATTTCCCTATTCATTAGCCAGTCGGAGCAGTACAGTAGGACCTTAACCCCCATTTCATTTTCCTTTCATCCCAACCCTATTCTATTATGGGTTATACATTTTCGACAACTGAAAGCACTAATATAGGCATAAAACTGTTTATTATATTATTACTGAATATTAAAATCATTTCACATATGTAGAGAATAAAAGTTTTTAAATTATTGACCATAAATCGTTTCACATATGTAGAGAATAAAAAATATTTGAGAAAAAAGGATTTCGATTCCAATAGGTAACTAATGAGCACTATACCATGTGTGTATTTTTAGAAAGTATGGCATTAAAATGCAAGATTTATCAAAATTGTGGCTTTTTTAAATGGTTAATAAAATGAGCCTCAATAGTTTTGATGTTTTGCACAATATAATACACATCAACCGTTTCCATTATCCTATACATATTTATTAAACAAGCCAACAGTGAGGCTGATGTCCCCCGCCGAAATAGGAAAATAATTAGAGGACACATATAAATTTATCACAAATTATCTTTTACAAAGTATTGAACAATCAAACAGTATATCTTTACTTATAGTCTAACAATCAAAGTAGGAGAGTTATTGTTTTCCAAAGTCTCGACCAATCAAATTGCGTATCGCTCTGCTTACCCTGAGCAGAAAATGCTCATTATCAAACTTAGTCAAGGTATTACTGTAATGAAACTATACACCAAGTTTCATCAATCTCACTTAATTAGAACTAAAGTTATCGTGTCCCAAAGCATCAACCAATCAAATTGCTTATCTCTGCTTACCCTAAGCGGAAAATGCTCATCTTCGAACTCCATCAAGGCATTGACCTAATCAACACATACACCAAGTTTGAACATTCTAGCTCAATTAGGAAGAGAGTTATCGTGCCCCAAAGTATCAACCAATCAAATTGCTTATCTCTGCTTACCCTAAGCGGAAAATGCTCATCTTCGAACTCCATCAAGGCATTGACCTAATAAACACATACACCAAGTTTGAACATTCTAGCTCAATTAAAAGTTATCGTGTCCCAAAGCATCAACCAATCAAATTGCTTATCTCTGCTTACCCTAAGCGGAAAATGCTCATCTTCGAACTCCATCAAGGCATTGACCTAATCAACACATACACCAAGTTTGAACATTCTAGCCCAATTAGGAAGAGAGTTATCGTGTCCCAAAGCATCAACCAATCAAATTGCTTATCTCTGCTTACCCTAAGCGGAAAATGCTCATCTTCGAACTCCATCAAGGCATTGACCTAATCAACACATACACCAAGTTTGAACATTCTAGCCCAATTAGGAAGAGAGTTATTGTGTCCCAAAAAGTGTGACGGACAGACAGACGGACAGACAGAAGGACAGACAGACGGACAGACAGACAGACAGACAGACAGACAGACGGACGAACCCATTTTAATAGTCCCCTGCTTTCTTCGAAAGGCGGGGGACAATTATATACATTTACTTACCAACCTTAAGAAAATACATAATTATTAAAATTACAAGTTCAAGCCTATTGATGATATATAATATATAACTACATTACTCACACTCTCAAACACACTTTAAACAGAATTACAGCCAATTACAACTACATTTATAACATGGAAGGCTTATCAAAGTACAAAGGTTATTCACATTCCTTCTATGTCCTAATTATTATTCAGTATAAATGACAATTGATGGAAAAGTGTATAACTTTAGTATTGTGATAGTTATCTGTGAAATAATTTACTGTTTGAATAAAATAAACAGTATTTCTTGTGTAATAAGAAAACCAGCAATATAATTATGGAACCCAGTTCCTCTTCAATCCTGTAGTACTAGTAGTAACCCAATATATTTGCAACATAATGCATGAACATTACTGTTTTATAAAAACAATAAGCATAGAAAAATATAGTACTGATGATCATAAAGGATAACCAAAATACAAAATTTCAATTGATAGATGACATAAGTGTAATGGTACTACATGGACATTGCTGCTTTCACACTTAAAAGAATTTACAACTGTTTTAGAGGAATATACAAGAAACAAACAGTAGTGATTGATAAGACTACTTCTAGTCTATTATTAGGTTTTCAGTTAAAACATATTCAAACTGAATTTAACTAAACATGACTTTTTGTATAAATGAAAACTTATATGATCGCTTGACCTCCTTTATAGTATCCCATTCTTTCTTTCCAGCCAACAATGCCACATCCACCCAACAAAATAAACAAAATAAAAATGACTTTGTTTAAAAAAAAAAAAAAAATTAATAAATAGCATCAACAGTCAGTGCAAATAGAAAATGGTGGCTTCTAAGTAACAATGCAAGTTGTTAGCTGGTTAAGACAATGATGAATAAAAACTACACTGGATACTTGTACTGTTATTTTCAAGAGCTTCAAGTCATTTTTTTTATAAAAAATAAACTTACTTAGATGGGATTGTTCAGATTAAGAAATATACACCTAATTAAAATTTTCTATTGATGGGCACATTGAACTCTGGGTCCACCTCCATGCATTTCATCATCCTCGTCATCATCATCATGATAGGCTTCACGTCTGCCAGATCTGTTTGATCGTGTCTGATCATAGGGGATCAAATCAACTTCTTCAACATGTTCACCTGTAGGTTTTTCATATTTGGGTCTTTCTGGCAAGAGTTTTTCAAGTTTCTATTAAAACAAAACATTAATTATAAAAAAGAAAGTATTGACATACCTATCTGCACTTAGTACAGCACAAGGCCTGGAAATAAGTCAATGTAAGGCTGATATCCCCTGCCTCAATCCCAAAATAAATGGAGGACACTTATTAAAGGCTTGATGCATCATTTTAAGAATGACTAGCAAATTAAAATATTGTGAAATATAGGAATATCAGTCCAAAATATGGTTCAATTCCGTCAGTATTTACAAAGATATGTGGAATTGAAATTTCATTGATCTATGCTGTTTAGGGCTAAAAATTCACGCGAATATCCAAATCTAATTTGTGCAAGGGTTCTCGTAAGAGTAAAAGCTGCAAATCTACAAGGATTCGCATAAAATATTTGTAACAAAAAAAAAAAAAAATCTCTGAGAACTGTTGAGTCCAACTCTATTGAATGTCAGTCAGGATGTTTTGAATCAAATTTGTATGACTTTCTTTATAGAATAGTACATGTATAATAAAATTAAATATTTGTTGTGTTTTTGTTTTACTGTTTACTTTTAACTTAATTCCATTTACATTTATGCATTGAATTTTAGTTACGCTAAAAATTTATTTGATTCCTAATTATCTATTTTAATCCCTCTTAAATGATATTTAAAAGAAACTGCTTAAGCAGGCCAACCTTGAAAACGAAATAATTTTGTGTTCCATTTTATCCTTTCGAGCGATTTGATTCCGCTAGTTCCACACCAATATAATGGTTAAATTGGGTCATTCCAATTCTATTCTGTCACTGTCAAGGTCTGTCACTTGGTTTTTTTCACTTTCGTTTGTGCGGACATAAACTATATTCCTTTATTATAATACTTTATCAATCAAATTTTTCGGAGATTGACAAGGCTTCTCGAAGCAAAATTATCTAAAGAAACTGTTATGAAACCTAGTAAGGAAATAAATGAAAACTACGAGTTGATTCTGAAAATAAACAGGTAATTCATGCTGCGTGCAAGGTGTGTCGAAGGCACTATAAAAGAATACAATAAACACAATTTTGTTTTTTTAGACAGTATTATTAATTAAGATTCGGAGGATTCACACAGATTGCATATATGAGAATCCTCTTAGATTCTCGCAAAAAAATGACGAATTTCTAGCCCTGCTGTTCGCCGTGTAATAATAAGCCTGTCGCCATTTGGTTATCAGCTAAAATTATTTGTTAGACCCGTTTTAATCCTATTGATCTTGGACATTCAGAAATCCACTAGGATTTGTCCAGTAACTTCGAGGTCATTTAAGATCCCTGGCCAATAGTGATATTTTATACAAACATTTGTTGTATTAAAGTTTCCTGTAACAACATCGATGTCAAATAAAGGTTTATTTTTGTTTTTCTTTTACAAGATTCCAGAAAAAACTACATTTGAAATTAGGTAATAATAAGACTATAGAGAGTATAAACTGATATCTTTAAAAGACACTAACCTTCATACTCTCAGCAGGAATAAAATTATTAGGTGGGAAGGTGACATCAAATTTAATATACATATCACCTTTCTCAAAAGGATTTCTATACATAGGCATTCCTTCACCAACAACAGTTTTTATCAGACCTAAAAATAAATACCGAAAACGTTATCTTGGAGCAATAACACGAGACCCATAGACTTGAATCATCCAATATTTACAACTGGTTGATAACTTCAGTCTCCCGAGCTTCCACAAGGAATTTTGGACAAAGAAAGAGTAATAATGAGAATATACGAAATTTCAATGTAGGAGCAGATAAAAATATATGGAATATTTGTATCCTTTACTGTGCTGACAAAAAGTTAAATGACAGATATATTGGCATACAAAAGTTATTTAGAATAGTTAATTAATTGCATTAATTACAATATAGAATAATAATAATAATGTACATTTATGATTGTGCTTAATCATCCATATTGCATGCTCTAAGCACATGGAAGATAATAGCTAATCCTGATAATAAGTAACAAACAAATGGGTTTTGAGTTTCGATTTGAACACAGAGCTAATGTTTGAGAACTCTGTATCTCCAATAGTAAATTATTCCACAGACACGGTCCGCAGACCCTGAAAGCTTTATCCCCATATGATTTCAGTTTAGTGTGCAGCACAACTAATGTTGGCTTATTTTGCAAGCGAAGTGGTTGATTTTGTTGATATGAATGAATGTGGTCTGTGAGGTAAGATGGGTAAAGATTGTGTTTACACATATAAAACAATGTTAGAATCTTGAAAGTTATCCAATGTAGTAATTTTAAGATGGGAGTTATATGAGAGTACTTTTCTGTTCTTGTTATTACTTTGGTGTTTTGAATTTTTTGGAGTTTTACACATAGGTTTGGGGAAATTCCAATCAAACAATGTTGCAGTAACGGAGCCTTGAGAATACCAAGGAACGCACAAGCAGCTTACAGGCCCCAACTGTTAAGAGGTGTCGAATATTGCCAATACCACACCGTTGCCCAAAATAATAAAGCAAAAAATATGATAGTATTACTTTATATTACCTGGTTTTATAACCTCTCCAGGTGGATTACTGATAACGAGATCCCGTCCATCCAGATGTTTTAAACTAAAACTAAAACCACACAAAGCTTCTGTTAAACCTATACTATGTGTATAAGACAAGTCTGCATGATCTCGTACAAATTTATCATGTTCTCTTAGTTGTAAGACAATAACAACATCACCAGGATCAACATCAGGCTACAAACAAAAATATAGCTATGTCAGTTATACGCTTGAATAAGGTTATATCAAATGTAATGAGAATGGAATAATTGAAATTTTGTTTAATCACTATTTCATTCCCAAATGACAAACAAATCTAATCTCAAAAATATGACTGGGTTTGTTTTGGGGATTTACTACTATCAGCTAAACAGTGAAGGTGTGTTAGATTTATGTAAAATTCCCTTTTTTTTACATTATCCCCTATTTAGTTTCTTTCAGAAAAATGTTTATCCGTCAAACTCGGATTAAACTATGTTATATACAACTCAATATTTACTAGTATTTTTGTAGATCTTAAACAATAACTTACAAGTTGATCTCCTTCTCCTCTAAATGTAATCCTCTGTCCATCCTGCATTCCTTTATCAACATGAACCTCTAAGATTTTTGTTTCATTACTAACTTTCTTTCCTTTACATTCTTTACACCGATCTCTCTCATTGATTATCTCACCTGAAACACATCATCAAGTATATTATAAGTATGTAATCAAATTATTAAACCATGAATTTATTGCAAATTGTATAGACGTTTAATCTTTACTACTACCTCTAGTCTAAGTGGGTCACAAAATCTATGTAAACTCATATTTAAATATAAGCTTGCACATCTTATTTCAACACCACAGTAACTTTATTTCCTCTAGCCATTTCTATATTTACATTAAATCACTGCTACAATCTCTTCTGTAAATGCATTATGAATTTTATTTGTTTTAAATTGACATATGATCTCACAGGTAACTTGACCAAACAAAGTTAAGCAATAATTAGATATGTCATCTATGTCAAACCAATTATAGATTTTATCCAAGTTAATTCAGTATACTATTTGTCTCTGGATAGCCAGAAAATAGATTTGGTCACCATTAGTGATGATATGAAGTAAAATTTTACGCATCGATGCATCGGATGCACACATCGATTCTTGCATCGATGCATCAGGAATTTTTTGTTGCCATTTTGTTAATCAAAAATTACAGAAATAACATTAGTATTTCTGATAGAAACATAAATTTCCCAAACATTATCATTAGGCCTATTATAGAAATGTCGATTTATTTCAATAAATTTATTTCCACAATATTCTTCTGTTATTTATTATGACATTAATATTGTCCGATTCACTTCAATGGACACTCGTTAGCCGTTGTTCAAATTTGTTGTAAATGTAAAGGTGTGAGGGGTGTGTGTGTGAGGTGATTACAAGAGACAGTCTGCATTATTTATACGGATCGTATCAAAGCCGGTCTATAGGGTTTTATAAAGTACATTCTCTATTGCCTGTGACAGAAAATAAGACTAAATCGTTTTAAAACTAGCATAAAAAACGGCCAGGAAATATTATCCTCCTGACACAGTTGGTTTGGCCATTTAAATGAACCGTGAAATTGACCTTGGGGTTAAATGACATGATAGTCTGGGGACGTAACCAGCAAACGCAGTATTTGTAGTCACTGGAAAATGAAGACCAACATAACGGAAGCGTAGGGTAAACAGGTCAAGCCTAATACATCGTGCGGGATTCATTGAATGGTTCCGTTACATATATATTGTTTTATTTTGGATTATAAAAAAACCCACAGAAAAAACGTATCGAAAAGGTGTTATTTATTCTAGTGGACGAACTTGTGAACTCCTCGGAGTCTTCAGACACATAAAGCCAATTATTAGTATTTTTTGCCAATGCATCGATAATACAAAAAAGGACCGAGTATCGAATCGGCGTCAGCACTAGTCACCATAAATAAGGTATAATGATTAAATCCTTTAGACTTGGCTCAATATTCTATTCATTACCTTCTCCATGACAATCTGGACAAACTGACTGCATTTGTTGTACCATACCTGGTCCTAGTTGACGTAATGTGACTTTAATACCACGACCTTGACATACCCTACATTTGATTGTTGCTCCTTGCTTACCTCCTAACCTATGAAATAATAATTAAATCCATTAATACAGTTACTATTTTAAACTTCCGAAGTACAGGAAGTGTTGTTTATCAGACCAGCATGAGCAGGCTAGGAACATGAAGTCTATATTTTTAACTGACAACAGGTTTTAATAGGTGATGTGACTAACAAATCATAACTCTGTCTATACCTTGACTTCAATGCCAAGTAACTAAATTCTGACATCAATGTTCAAACTCTTGCTGCAACTCAGAATGCGACGAGTGCTGTGCAGTGTGTACAAGAACAAGTATGCTCACTTTCTATGTCCACCAATTTCATTATTAAGGAAATTCAAATGTTAATATATTTTGCTGTAAGCTTATGCTGTATTTTACTCTAAAATTGACCATTGCTGTTAAAGGAGCTAAATCGCTAACATTTGGGATCTAGAAATTGACAAAAGTGGGTCGCAACGCATACTGTAATATGAATGTATATAAACTGATTTACATTCAATGGTTTCCGTTTTTAATCCAATTTCAAATCAGTTATGTTCGGCGAAATAAGCCAGCAGTCTCAATCAAGTGCAAATTTCTAGCGTCTGGTTATTCCAGTCTACATACGCCGTTCGATTTGGTGCAATGTGTTTAGCCTCGTCCCTCGAGTCTCTTTTTACAACTGGGACTGATGCGCATTATGGTACACGATTCGTGTACCAATGGTAAAATGTTTATTTTGTCTTAAATATTGGATATCAAAAGCCCATCTTTTTCCGGTAAGATCACAACATCAATGTTGATTTAATTTGACAAATAAATCGTGTTTTCAATGTTGAAGATTTTGGATGATATTAAGTTAGAGACTTAGCTACTTTAACCCAAAACAGACTATCATAAGGTTGCAAGATAAAGATTTTAATTTGACTTACCCTGAACACTTCTTACAGATAATAGTTTTACTTAATTGTAATTTTGCAGCTTTTCCATTATACAAATCTTCTAAAGTTACTCTGAGAAAAAAAAACAACACCACAAAAATGTATTGATGAATTACACAAGACACAATTCTCTGAAATATAAGTTCTGTTTAGCATGGAGTGATGCTTCGACTAGGATTGTTGAAATAAAGGAACTAATGGAAAGAGGGAAATTTTTGGCATATTTTACACTGGAGTAAATAACCTACTTTGAAGCAATTCTTTATCTAATATTTCATGTGGCAATGCATTATAGAATAAAATGAACAAAGCTATGCTGTTTTAATCCAGTAGTTAACATATTTTAATGAAGAAAAAAAAAAAACCCAAACAATTATATAGCTTTTCTCTAGAGTTACTAAAATGGTCAGGTTTTGGCAAAATCAAATGACATATTCTTTAACTGCATATGAGACTATTATTTGAAAAACATCCTTTATTACGTGTTTCAGATTGTTTCTGTAAGTGTTTCTATTGTATTTTTTTTTTTTTGGGGGGGGGGGGAATTTAGTCAGTTTGTGCAGCCAAAACTGTCAAGGTGCAAACATTCTGTCAATGTAGATGTTGCTGGCCTCCGTGGATCTATTTTTCAAATATAAAATGGGTCATTTTTGACACACAGGATGTTTTATTGATAGGATAAAAAAAATCTCAAGATTCCCCATATCTCGGTTGTTTCCCAACGGATCTTCGTCAGATTTGCATTTTTGGATTCTTTGGACGAGTCCCATATGGGCTCTGACCAACGGTTTTTCGAAATTCTGAAGTTTGCTTGATTAAATTTAGCATCAAAGATTTGCAAAAGTTTTCTTCATTTTTTCGACATTCAGGAGGTGTAACAATATTGTTGTTGCGACATTGTTTTCAAATTCATAGACAAGGAATGGAGAAATATGATGGCTGAAACAATATTGTTATCTTTGTATATTATTGATTCTAAGTTCATAACCAAAAATATAGAAAGTATGCTGGTTATTTTGATACGTTAACGCAGTTTTTATAGTTTAGTAAACATATTGGTCATTTCCATTTTTCAAGGATAAGTTGTTATTGTTTGAAATACACATGAGTGGAAAATTACTGATTAGCCTACGCCATTCGGCACCTATAAGAGAGAGCGGGGCAAGAATAATTTTTAGATATCATGCAAATTCTTTAGATGACTATTTCATGATGTAGTGTTTTCCGGAGTCTAGCCCCGCTGGTTAGACTTTTACAGGAGTTGGGGTTAAGAGAAAGATATGTTAATATTAAAGATGGGTTCCCGCATACAAACTGGGTGATTTAATGGCATATATGGACCAAAAACATATTCAAACTAATTAATTTGTCATAATTATGCTTCAAATCCTTCTCAAACATTGTAATTGCGAAGGAATGCCCTGCTATTAAAATTCGATAAAACCAGGTCATGTTTACGTCACGTCTTGGAAGTCAGAGGAGAATCCATTGCATACATAAGACAATGTTGTCTTTAATCGCTTACTATTTATTACAATTATAGAATCCTAATTAAATTCTCGGATTATCCACTACTCACGTCTTTTTCCGTCATTTTTATCTCAGAAAGTGTTGTACGTCTAACTCTTCATAAAGTTTATCAACTTGTACAACAAGCGCTCAATGTTCGCTTGTGACCTTTGACATAACGCGTGCAGAAGTTTTGAATCGTCGGGCTGTTGATTAGGGGAACCCTTACGTTTTTGTCCTGTATACGCTCCATAAGTATTTTTCTAGTAAGATTGGATATCTCTACTTTCCATATATACCAAAATTGCCATAGTTTTATTGGAAATTACCACCCGATAAATATTTTTCTGGGAACCCATCTTTAACTATTGTCTAACTGTTGTGACATAAAAACGTTTAGCAAAAACCTCTCGTTGTTCCCGTTACATATTTGATTTCGGTATCGTAAGAAAACACAATGGTGTAGTCCTTAAGAAGAGAGATACGACAGCAGCCAGTCCAGACAGAGCCAACCAACCCCTTGACGATCAGGTCAAAATAAAGATATGCGGCAGTAATGCTACAGAGGGCGTATCTGAATCTCCTTCACTATTTGAGGTATCAAGTTGAAACTTGGTAGGAATAAGGAACACGTTGATGCCTTCACAATTTTGTGACCACTTCCAGAAACTTCCCGAACATGAATAGTTCTCTCCATTTTAAAAATAGACCAAAGATAGGTTGCCAGGCAACGAAACATACGTCCACAGCAACTAAATCGTCCGGGCAGTCAACAAGGGTTGTCGCATATTTTTACTTTTTTCGGTAATGAAACATTTATAATACACTAAAATCTGATTAAGAGCAACAACTCACGAAGTAATTATCAGAAAACTATTAGAATTTGTTTGGTTTTTATAAAGTTCTGCCCCATGCTAACGTTTTGTATGCAAAGCTTTTAATAAAATGGATTTAACTGTTCAAGTCATAAAAATTCATTGAAAATCAATATACTTGTTCGTCTCAAGATCTTAAACTCTGTGTATCAATCTGAAGTCAATCGGATTATAACTTTAGCCTTTAGAGCATCACAAGTGATCAAGGGCCATAACTTTGGCAGTAATTATCGGAAATCGTTGAAAATCAATAGGTTTCTTCGTCTCATGACCTTAAACATTGTGTATCAATTTAAAGTCAATCGGATATTAACTTTGGTCTTTAGAGCATCCACAAGATTTTTTGAAGTGATCAAGGGCCATAACTCTGGCAGTAATTATCCAAAATCGCCGAAAATCAATAGGCTTCTTCGTCTCATGACCTTAAACACTGTGTATAAATTTAAAGTCAATCGGATATTAACTTTGGCCTTTAGAGCATCCACAAGATTTTTTTGAAGTGATCAAGGGCCATAACTCTGGCAGTAATTATCAGAAATCGCTGAAAATCAATAGGCTTCTTCGCCTCAAGACCTTAAACACTGTGTATAAATTCAAAGTCAATCAGATATTAACTTTAGCCTCTAGAGCGTCCACAAGCAATTGTGGACGCCGGACCAACGGACGGACGGACGGGGGCGACGACAATATACGACCACATTTCAATGTGGGCGTATAAAAATGGCATGTGGTGGTGTTAGCGTCCAATTTTATCTTTCATTTTCGAGACCATGTTCAATTATATTTTCAACCGTTTGGCCGTCATATTGGATTTTTAAAAAAATCTTCCAATCGATATTCAGTCGACATCTTGATTCAGATTTTTAAAAAGCTTTTTTTGTTTTGAACCTACTTCAAATGACAACAATCCTTAGGGAACCGATTTTTGAATTTTGATTTTGTTTACTTCCAGTTTCACTTTGAATTTTCTTTGACTTTTCAACTTCTATCTGTTGACCCAACCTTTTAATGACCCTCAACGTTTTCATATATGACGACCCTCATGTCTACTAACAATTAATATCAAAATGTTCTGTCTTGAAGTTAGTGATGGTCTGATATGGCACCTATCGGTTTTTACGGATATCAGATATTGACAGCAAAATATATCGGCCGATACAGATACAATTACCGATAGTGGTGCAGGGGTAGAAACTAACCTGAAATGGTCACTAGCCATTTGGGCTAGTAGCTTTCAGATCTTACTAGCCCAGCCAACATTCTACTAGCCCAGTAAGACTTTGTTCGTTGTTGCCTCTGTTTTTTTTCATCAAATGAACTCATTAATCAGTCATGAAGACATATATTAAAATTCAATTTGGCACATTTCATTTCATATTTGTCCTTTGGAAGTTTAATCTTCAATACAATAGATTTTTTCAGGGGCTTCATTTGTATTTATATTTCATTTATGTTTTATAAATTCAGTTGTGATCACTAAATTATTTCTATATTTTTATCAGCATCTAGTATTCATGTGACATCAAAGGGATATCCCCCTTTCATCTTTCATTCCAATCCTGCGCAAAACTTGTGATATGCAAAACTTGTGATATTTTCGCGCCTTTTCCAAAAGTTCTACTCATGTTGATAGTGGCAGACAATATTAGCAGTGAACTAGATAAATCGAGGGAAAAAAATTCTGCGAAGTAGTAAGACTTGGAACTATTTCACGATAAGCAACGTTTCATATACCAGCACGGTATGCAATGAACCATTGCTGACATCTTTAGTTTTAATATTTTATTATCATGAATCGTGATAGACATTGTTTACTTCATAGTTAATAAATTTGTTATTACTTATCAGAAACAATTTATATAAAAATTTCAATAGCCTAATTAGGTATTGTTCTAGTTAGTGATCTTGTAATATCAGCATGCATTGAAAACAGATCGAAGAGGGGCCTCCGCGAGATACTGACTGCGTACTCAAATTCTATGATTTTGATCATCATGCAATTGGCTTTTTCCCCTATTCCAAACAAAAGTTTTATCGGATCGACTGTACGTTAATGTCTGTCTGCACATGCGCAGAAATGGTATTCTCAAAAATCGCATTGAGAGATCTAAGCTTTCAAACAGTGTGTGAATAAGGATTTAAAAAATAACGGAGACCGGTAAGGATTTTGTACTGTTTGTTCTTTTCTTTTTAAGGCCCCTATGATAAGAGTCTTGAATTACCGGTACGTCTAAATAGCAACGCACACGGCAACTGATATATAAAACTTTTATTTCGGTTGTCGTGCGGGTGGCAATTTAGATAAAGGCGGCCGGTAAGGATTTTGTGTCGTTTATTCTTTCCTTTTTATGGCCGCTATGAGAGTCTTGCATTACCGGTACGTCTAAATAGCAACAAGCACGGTAACCGAAATAAAACTTTATTTCGGTTGCCGTGTGCGTGACTATTTAGATGTACCGTGTGTCAAGCAAAGAATGATTTGTTCACAACTCGGACAATATTTTAAAGGTATTTACCGAGTCGTTTTGAACAGATCTAAGCTTTCAAACAGTGTGTGAATAAGGATTTAAAAAATAACGGAGACCGGTAAGGATTTTGTACTGTTTATTCTTTTCTTTTTAAGGCCCCTATGATAAGAGTCTTGAATTACCGGTACGTCTAAATAGCAACGCACACGGCAACTGATATATAAAACTTTTATTTCGGTTGTCGTGCGGGTGGCAATTTAGATAAAGGCGGCCGGTAAGGATTTTGTGTCATTTATTCTTTCCTTTTTATGGCCGCTATGAGAGTCTTGCATTACCGGTACGTCTAAATAGCAACAAGCACGGTAACCGAAATAAAACTTTATTTCGGTTGCCGTGTGCGTGACTATTTAGATGTACCGTGTGTCAAGCAAAGAATGATTTGTTCACAACTCGGACAATATTTCAAAGGTATTTACCGAGTCGTTTTGAACAGATATCGGCAACTCAAGTATCGGCAAAATGGCCGTGTATCGGTCGATACCAATTTCTCCTGATAGACCAATTACCGATGTTGAAACCGATTATCGAACCATCACTACTTGAAGTATAACTTCTGGTTTTATCAAGAGTTCAAAATGACAGGTTTATCCACTTCAATAGGTATTGGATCTTACTATACTCAATAATGCATGGTGTAACTTGATTGTTGACGTGACAGGGTGTGACCTGACGTACCGAAACACGTCAGTATCCTTTGGAGTCCTAGTTTATACTTGTAGTATATATGTCTGCTCTGAAACGTAACTAACCTTAGTGGATGCATTGTATTTTCTCCCCGTCGCCTTCCTCTTCTACCCCCTCCTCCCATACCAGACATTCCTGGCATTCCAGGAAAACCAAAGAAACTTCCAAAAATATCATCAAACATGCCTGCTCCGAAACCACCTGTAAAGTAAGGAAAGAAATGGAAGCTCTAAAATAACAGATTTAGAAATCTTATGTTGAGTGGAATCGATTTAGTTAACTTACATGTACACACAATATCTTTGACTTGAATTGTGCACTATATATATAGTATAAAATGATTAATGACCAGACATTAAATTCTTACCTCCTCCTTGTCCACCTTCTTTAATACCCTGTAAACCATGTCTGTCATATATCTCTTTTTTTTCTGGGTTTGATAGGACTTCGTAGGCAAAGCTTATTTCTTTGAACTGAAAGAATCATGTTAAACTATTAACTTTCATTTTGTTGTCAGGTATTGTCCAATTACCTAATTATTTCACTGTATTGGGTAAATTTGTTAGTTTATGAAAGTGCTACAAAGCTAGTTAATATAGAAGATTCTTCTTCAACTCTTTTGATTTTTTAACCTAACTTTAACTTTTACGATTTGACTTCTAATAGAACAATCTATAATTTTTATATCATGTGAAGCTCACTATAAATGTCTTTTTACAATACAAACACATGTAATGATCGCTATGTAATAGCTAAGTATACATGTAGCCTACATAGTTAAGTACAAAAGCTTTTGGCACTATTTGAGCCTGCTAAGTTAACAATACATCTCATCTATATCATTTTTTTAATTTTTAGCCCAAGATGCAAATTTTGGATTAATCAAAACCCTTTAAGCTGAACAAAATAAAGGTTAGTTTATACAATATACACAATATTTAGTGCCAATGTCCAATTCAGATATGGAGGAAAAACACTGGATTAAGACAAAGTAATTCCAAATTCCTTAATTCTATTGCGAGTGAGTAGGTCATCTAATGAACACCTGTTACCTCTTGATTGGATGTTATACTGAGTTTAAAATGTCTCTGTATAAAATAACATCACAGTTTTCAATGAGCTTATACATATACAGAAAAACAAAACCCTAAACAAAAACATCTTAACGTGCAATCATGTTAAAGTTTGAATTATCAAATAAACTATTCAAGATCGGATACTACAATTTATAATAGAAATTGTGATATCAGAATAAGTTCAATTGCTTTAGTGTGGTGAACAAAATGTTATATTACCCTTTCTCCAGCATCAGGATTCTTGTCAGGGTGAAACTCCTTTGCTAATTTATAATATGCCTGAAGTGAAACAGGTAGAAACATATAGTCTCAATGACTTTGTGAAGTATCAACAAGCTTATGTAGTCAAATTTATCATGCAAATGAATTTAAAATTTCTTCACTCAATGTCCAATCATGTGGTGCCAGTTAACTCGTCCACACGCAAACTCGTCCACAGCTAAGAAAACATTTTTATTATTTGTTCGCCACCCGGGCAACATGTATCTTGTTGGGAATTTTGAGGGCCAAGTAACATGTTTCAAGAAAAATGTCAAGAAGTCAAACCAAATCGGAAATGCTCTGACCAGGCATAAGTGTACATGTACCTTAAAGGTATATGGATGCACAAGCAAGGAAAACTACACGCTGACTTTTCGGTGGAAGAAATAAGCTAACTCACAAAATGAAAAGTGTCAGTCAGTAAATAGAATACTAAAATAGATTTTGTGTAAACTAAATGGACTGGATATATATTATGCAAGTTTAATGTATTACCAGTATAAATATCTGAATTTTTAAAATTTCGAGTTTGCTGAAAGAAGTACCGGTAAATAGGTTGTCAAATTTTGTGGCGAGATTTGACTTTTTAGATGTAATATGTTATGACATTAAAATATCAAGTGGGAACAAGTCGGGTCATTGATTTGACTTAAATCGGACAAGAATCTAAGTCGCTGGGTATCCAGACAACCCATCCCAAGACCACCCATCGCAAAAGAAGACAACTCATCCCAAGACCATTCATCCCAATAGAAGACAACAGTGACAACTCATCCCAAAATAGAAGACCACTTGTCCTAAGTTTAGAAGATTACTTGTCCCACAGTAGTTGTTTGTTTTAATACGTGGGCCGAGATATAAGACCATTCGGACCAGGTTTAGAAGACTACTCATCCCATAATAGTTGTGGTTTTTTTTTTAAAAAATACATGGACATGGAGTATCCCAACTTGGAAGTGTATTTGGGAGAACGCGAATAATGACGTGGAGGGTTGGCACAATAGGATGAACCATAAGGCCAAGAAAGGAAACCTCCAATTAGAACTTTTATTACTGTAATTTTATTGTATAAAGAGGCTGCTCAACTACCAACACAGATCAAAATATTATAATTATTTTATTCTTATAAATTGTTGAGTGGTCTTTAAAACTTGGTCTGAGTGGTCTTATATTGCAGCCCACATATTAAAACACATACAACTATTGTGGGGTGAGTTGTCATCTATTATTGGGATGTGACTCCAGTTCCCACCTCTGCAAATGGTTACATCTAACTTGTAGGAATAGCATAAATGGGCACCATTTGATGGATTTCTTTGTTTATTCAGGAAGATTTTATTATAATCAATTTCAAAATATTATAATTCAAGGGAATTTAATAAGTTCCGTGTTCGGCTAGTTGAGTAGTTGCCATGGGCATGAGGAAGAGTAGGCCTATAACACATGCCATTAACACATCCAGTGTAGCTAGAAAAGAGGTCTGTCACCATGCAATATTTACCTACACAGTTCACACACCTGAAAATTCCAAGTTTCACTTTAGTTTACAAAATAGTTAAAAAAAAAAGAAGACAAAACAAGTTCCAGATACTTGATTGATCAAGGGCCAGACACCGCCAAACAATTGTCCCTAATTAATTGTACAATTTCATTCAAATCCAATTTTGTTCTTGTAATAAAGACATATCTTCGGCATGATGAAATATCTTTCCCAGTCCCTATCCAGCCAAGTCATTCTTTGTCAAACATGACAAATCACTCAGTCCTTTAGCCTTTAGATTCACTGATTCAGTGTCTTACTTGTCGTCACGTGTTACGAAACAGTGTACATTTATCTTTTTTTTCAAAGTGGAGGAAACATGGTATTTTAATATAAATTGTTTAATATAGGAGAATCTTTGCATAGAACATTCTCTCACCTTTTTAATCTCACTTTCAGAGGCATTTCTACCCACATTTAGGATGTCATACAATTTCGTGTCAGCCATTTTTTCAGAAAAACCAAGGACAACAGCGCCACCTACACAAGGAAGATTTCTAGTTTTGTCTTGGTTATTCGGACGTTTAATCTGCTACATCCTGGTATTTTGGATGTATATAGATTGTTAGTAGGGATCAACCGATGTAGCACTAGTTTTACCAGTTCTGTCTGCTTACAAAAAATTTCAAGATTATACTACCTGATATAAATAATCCTATTTTCGCCTCGGAATTATTTCCCGAATAAAATCTGGAGGCAAAAGCCATAAACAAAATGGCAAGCATGCCACCAAATTCAATTCTTGGCGCAAATTTCTTTTTATTATTTTTTTTTTTTTTTAAATAATTAACAAAAAACAGCAATGTATCCGAGGACAATGCTAATCTTAAAATTCAAATGCATAAATTGCAATGATTTTGAGCTTCATTTCAGATTACGTTTGTATTTACTTTGCGAACTCTCGAAAATGTGATTCACTCAAGTTTTAGTCTAAAATATGTTTTTATTTATTTATTGAATGGTAACTTTCTATTATTGATAAGTGCAGGAGAACTGTATCACACATAACAAACATTTATTAAACCAGAAAACACATCACATCACACAATTGAAGGATCCGGGGCCGGCCATAAGTGTTCACTGCGCTATAGAGTCCCGAGCTTGCAGTGATGTACAGGCTTCACCTTAAAAGAAAACAAATTCAATAGGGAGGCAGCCCAGAAATAGACAGCATCCCCGAGCGCTGGCGGATGTGTAAAAAGCGCAAGATTTGGAAAAATGAAACGTAATAGATGCAATTCCGGACTTCGGACCGCCTAAATTGAGCAGGAGAAGCACCCCCCCCCCCCCCCCATGAAACGCGACTGATCATGATCGGCTGTGTGTTAAATAAATTGCAATGGCAATAATACATTGACAGGATTTTCAGACAGGGCGGGGGGGGGGGTGCTGCCCCCACTTGGGAGTTCGATGCCCGGCTCTCGGTGGGCGGACTGACACAAGGACACAGGGACCACCGACTTACGACGGGGATCACTACCATTTTTAAGTATTTTTGTTCTTCTTTCCCGCGAGAATATAGAATTAAACACACCATGAGTACTAAAAATATAAATATATCAATGTAGGAACAAATGTGTCAAATTCAACTTTAGTCCGACATTGTGTAATTGAAAGGAGAAACTAAAATAGCAGTATTGTATGTACCCTTGTTTTGATAATAGGTATTATTGTGTTTTTCCAAATTTATATTCTCTTTACCTAAAACTATTATTTAATGTGCAATAAAGCAGAAACTATTACTTTATGTTATTAACTTACGGCTAGTCCCCGGACCCATCACTCGATCTGTTATGTGCGTTTGTTGTTTTTGGTGTCTATATATTGTGTCCTGTCCGTAGGTTTGTATTATGCAACTGTTTGTGGCCGCCCCCCCCCCCCTCCCCCGTCACCCGCACTTAGCATTATACGTTGTTCATCGTTCGGTGATGTTTATAGAATAATCAAAATGCCGGCTCAGTGCTTTCCTATTTATTAAAGCAAGAATTTCATATTTTCTAAGAAAGTCAAAACATAATTATTTCTATGTCTTTTGCTCAATAGGTTGTCAACTAACTATCAGACGACCATAGGTATCATTCTCACACGTAAAAACCATTCGCCACGGAAATAATAACACAATTACCTCCCTTGTTTTTTCTATCCCCACCCACCCCCACCCCCATATGGAATAGCTATCTTCAAAAGTTTGAATTTGAAGTTGAAAATGATATTTTTGCCAATTTCTCAACTCGCAGTAGTGAATTATAGGATTAATAGGATTATTCTTTAACAAGGTAGGACTGTTTATAGATACCATCTATTTTAAGGCTTTATTTTAATACATTTTAAAAATATAACTTAAAAATATGAAATTATCGCTTTAACGGATATCACGACTGGTGTATATTGAGTATTTCCCGGTGTATATACCATGGATATCACAACGGGTGTACATTAAATTGAATATTTTACTGTGTATATTCCACTTCGCTACTGACCCATTTTTATTGCCCGCTAACTGATGGCAATAACCACTGGTGTATAATATGTGACCGAGTATTTTTCCAGTTGTTTATTCCCCTTTTTACCGACTGAGATAATTACTGACTAGACAATATTGGATATTTTTAACATGGTATCCGTAATAACATGGACAAATGTCCACGATTAAGAACTATTAAATTTTCGCGATATAAATTATTTAATGATGCGCATATTAAAATCTTATTTTAATAAATTATCAATATTCAATACTAGTATCCTGGTATTAAAAATCGAATCTATAAATTATTTGTCATATGATTTTATTGTAAGAAACCGGATGAATTGAATAATGCCTAAACTATGCTAGGCGATGGGCGTAACCTGATACTGCCACTGGCTCAATCCAGAGTCGTGAAAGTAGACGAACCGAATTCCAGTGAAAACTGTACCGTATGAAGTTAGAAATAAGTTCGCTCTTTGCTGATTTCAACCCAATACAAGTGATATTTTGATCTATTATAATGATATGAAGGATTATTGTTACGTTTTGTGAGAGGATATGGACAAAAAATTGCAATGTTGGGTGTAAAACGTGCAGAAATGGAGTTGTAATTTAGCCAGGTAGAGTGACCTACAATTGACAGTGAGAGGGCGCCATCTTCCTACCGTCACCGTGTGAAAAGTTATATGAAGAATTTAAAGTTACATACGTGTGTATAGCTAAAATACAACCATGTTTAAGAAGAAAAAGAAGCCGTCTATAGAAATATCCGAACCGCAGGATTTTCAGCATCGAGTACATACAGGATATGATAATGAACATGGTGTTTTTGTAGGATTACCGAGTCAGTGGGCTGGTATTATTGGAGTTGAAAAGGAGCGTCCCCGTCCAATCATAGATCCATCCACTATTACCGACTATGAAATAGAACCCTTAAAAACAATTGTAAGGGGTAATTCACAAATAGGAATAAGTGTTGCAAGATCAAATTCATTAAAACAAAGTAGCCCACCTCCCTATCGTAAGAAATATACAGGCAATTCAAACTATCCACCTGTTCAGGAGAATGATGGTTACTATGAAGGAAATAATCATTATCCAGATGTCCCTCATCCTATGCATCAGAATGCCTATAATCAAGGTAATAATCATGGTCATCCAGCAGGCTACAACCCTCGGGTTGACAGTAGGCCCCCACCAGACAGAGATAATTACTATGGAGGAGGAGGAAGAGGAGATCAACATTATCCCCACCAAAACCATCAAGATCACAATAATATGCATCAAGGTGGTTACAGACAACCTGAAAGGGTGAATGACTATCAGCCTCGATTAAACAACTCATATGATAGAGATCAATCTGGATATTCTGAACGAGATAATTCATTTGAAAGAGATAGTCATTATCGGGACAGAAACGACAGAGATATGTACAATCATTCAGCTCCTCAAGATCCAGGGATGGGTAGACAAATGCCGGCACCATATCAGAATATGCCACCAAAACCTGGTTACAATCCTTACAATGATCGCCCTGGCCCACCCCAGCCCCAGCCCCGGTCACCATCTCATTCTAACTCTATGCAGTCATTATCAAAATCTCCAGCACCTACTGATGGGCGCTTGTCCCATGATCAATTCAGAGCTGCCTTGCAAATGGTGGTTAGTCCAGGAGATCCACGAAGTTTCCTTGAAAAGTTTATTAAGATTGGAGAAGGTTCAACTGGTATAGTTTGCATAGCCACAGACAAGGAAAGGCGCAACCAAGTCGCTGTAAAAAAAATGGATTTACGCCGACAACAGAGACGTGAGCTTTTGTTTAATGAAGTAGTTGTTATGAGAGACTATCATCATCCTAATATTGTAGATATGTATAACAGTTTTCTGGTCAATGATGAACTGTGGGTTGTTATGGAGTTCATGGAAGGGGGTGCCTTGACGGACATTGTAACACACAGTAAAATGGATGAAATGCAAATCGCGACTGTTTGTAAAGCTTGTTTGAAGGCTCTTGCTTATCTTCATTCACATGGTGTTATTCACAGAGACATTAAATCAGATTCTATTTTATTGTCACATGATGGAAAAGTGAAATTATCAGACTTTGGTTTCTGTGCCCAGGTAACCCCGGAATTAAGGAAAAGAAAATCTCTGGTAGGTACACCATACTGGATGGCTCCGGAAGTTATTTCAAGGATGCCTTATGGAACAGAAGTTGATATCTGGTCATTGGGCATTATGGTTGTCGAGATGGTAGATAGTGAGCCACCATTTTTTAATGAGCCGCCACTGCAGGCAATGAGAAGGATACGTGATATGCCACCGCCAAAAATACGCAGTTCACACAAAGTCTCTCCAAGGCTTCAAGGCTTTTTGGATAAAATGTTAGTAAGAGATGCTAGCCAGAGAGCATCTGCTCCAGAGCTCCTGAATCATCCATTTTTACGAGAAGCTGGTCCACCAAGCTGCCTTGTTCCTTTGATGAGAAGTTACAGGAATAGTCCATGTTAATATCAGAACAAGTTATGCTGTCCTGGTACTTATTATTATTATTAAATATATCATAACGCATTACATGTTCAGGATTATATATCAACATTTTCTATTATTATTGTAACCTTTAACCCATATAAATATATTCATTAACCTGTACACATTATATGTACATAACTGGTATATAATCATTCATAATATTAATACTAGAAAAAAAGTATATTTTATTTTTTTCATTTCATTTTATATGATTATAATTATTTAACCAATATTTAGTATTTCACTATAGAAATTCTTTAGAAATATCTTGTACGTATACTGTCCATGTACTTGCCTACTTGTTTCTGGGACATATTTTCTAATACACTGAAAATATAATTTGGTAAGTGATCTAATGAGCCTGCACTGCAGACCATACATTTATCTTTCACATCCCAATGGTTATTCAAGTACACATTGTTCAGCTAAGTCTACACCTACTAACAGTAATATAGCAAGTATTTCATAGTATTTAATCATGCTTCGGAGTGTCTTGTGTGTTACTGAACAGAACATGTGCATGAACATCTATGGACTTCTAAAACTTTTAAGTTTATGTAAATACATGTATTGTAATTAATGTAAACAAATTATTCGTATTAGGCCTAACTGTCATTATAACAATATGCTTATTTGTCTTCGTTCACTGTTATTATTATCTTACAGGCATTATATCTTTCAAATACATTCTATAACGTTTCATAGTTCATTAAAATTCATATTTTACACACAATCTAATATGATGATGCCCATTGTAACTACATGTAGCAGGTTTACATGTATGTTTGGTTTCTTTTCCTTCATTGGTGACAAACTCCAAAGTAAGATTGCCTCTTTAATAATATAGTTTATATTTGGATGAGGTTTTAGCCCAGTTAAATTGTTACATCAAGTACCTACGCAGGTTGATTTATGTCTGAAATATAGCTTAATTCTTTTATTAGTGTTTTAATGATAGGATATGCCTTCAAGTATGTAATAAACAGATAATGTTTATTATACTAACTCTATCCAACAAATTATCAAGAAATATTAAGAAATATTATTCTTGGCAATTAAAAGAAATCTAAATTTACGTACATATACTCTATAGATTTTGGCATAAGCACAAGTTTTAAGATGCCAAAAAAAACCCACCTTGAGTTAAGATCAGATGTTTGTACATAGTAGCTAATGCACGAATATCCAACTCTTGCCTATTCAGTGAATAGTAATATGTAGTATCAAAACTATACCAAAGTACTGAGACATCAAATTGAAAAAACAGGAATAAACTACTACTAAATAGTGGTTTTAATATTAGAAAGTAAACAAAAAATATAACATTTTCTATTTACAGTAATAAAATTCAGAAGCGTTCATAGAAAACATTCCTGCTTAAATTAGTGCTGCAAAGTTTCCATTTATTTTTGTACTTTAATGACATAATGGTGTAGAGAAGTAAAAAGTATATTCTAGAAATAGATTTTTAATGTATTTTCATGTTTAGATATTAGCTTTTGTACATACCCGTTACTGTAATGTATTTTCTTTACAATTTGTGTTGTACCCTGTATTTTGTGTGCATGTGATCTATGTCTTAAAATTTTCTCTCTTTGAAAAAACAATTCTTACTTGTGTAGAACTTTTATATATACTTTTGTTTCTTGCAATGCTTAACAATATTGTATAAATTTGTTTTAAATTATCAACATGTATAAAAAAAAGTTGGTCAGTACATTACAGTGATTCATAGTTAATGCATTACTTTCTAACTTCGGGGCAAGTTATAAGTTTAATTGAAACTGTAGAAATAATTATCATTACACAACCAAATAGTCATAATCAGTTTATGGATTTGTCAACAAATTTTATTTAAGTTTATCAAAGTAGTATCAAACTGAATAATAGGAAGTATATCAAGTACATGGATAAGCTGTTTGATATGTTGTATAAAAAGGGGGTCCATAAAAAGGGTGTGGTAATATTTTTGCAAAGTTCTAAATCCATTGAATTTACAGTAGATCTGGTACCACCAAGTTGTATACATGTAGTTCTGTGTATTTACTCTTTAAAGCTGTTGATTGTTATTGCAATTTTAGGAAACCTCAAATTTCTCATTGCTTAATCCATGCTAAAATGTTCTCAAATTGATTATTTAACATGTAAGTATGAAACAAATCAAAATATCAACAGTACATAATTTCCGGCTTTGATTAAAAAGAGGTCAATCAAACAATTTCAGCAAAGATTATACCTGGTGCTGGTATGTTTTGACCATATCCCGTTATATGGTCTGCAAAGGATGTTGAATGTTGACAAAATATCATATCTTTGTAAAAACTGAACAGAACTGTACAATTTTTGGACTAATATTCCCTGTAGAGATTCAGCTTTTAGTTTGCAACTACATGTAATTCAAAATGAAGATGAAAGACTTTATTTAATTATATGTTCATATGAATTATTATTAACATTTTCTCATGTTGCTCTTGGGATAACATAACATTTCTTTTGTAGGTACGCTTAGTTGTGCAATTTTTCATAACATATTGCATGAATTGACATGTTCATCATTAAAATTAATATTCTTATCAGCTTTTGAAACTGCCAACATAAATCATTAATATACAAAATAGGAGTTATAATACGCTGGATGATGTTTGCATGTCACAAAAGTATGAGGTTTATATGTTTATTAAACTTTAGTTCAAATTGAAGGATTGGTATTAATTTCTATAAACTGTTTTACTGGATCTTATTTTCACAAACTGTTGTACGAACTGACATGTTGTTTAGAGCATGGGAAGAAGTATTTATAATGTAATTTGATACATTTAAGCAACTACTGGCAATAAACCTGATATACAAGCAATAATTCACAAACTTCATTTTGATGTCAAATAAGTTATTGAAGAAATGCAATTACTGGTAAATGATATGACACAACTTAAAAATTATTCAAAATAGAATTTTACCAGGTTAATTGTTTTCTTTGATAGACTTATTTACTGAGTTTTTCTCTGAAGTATTTTGTTCTATCTTAAACATATTTATATTGGGGAATGTTCATTTCCACTTTCCATGTATAACCAAACAATATGTTAACCAATATTGGAATTGACTTGACATGGGGGAACTTATGTAATATACTTGTATGTATATATATTATGAGGATGTTTTCATAATCTAACCTTTTGTATTAAGACTTTATTTTCTTCAACTAGCCATTCAGAGACCTTTTTTGTGAAAATGATGTTTTAACTGTTATTTTGTTCCTGTAAAAATCATATCATTATTTTTTGGTTGTGCTATTCATTTTATTTGTAAATGTATGACTTTTAAACAAATATTTGATATGAATTTAAATATTTTATCTATCAGATATTACTATAATGTTTAGATAAGTGTGTAATAGTGATGTGATGTCCATTTGTTAAAATATTATTTTAATATTTCTGTAATTGGTATTACTTTTGTTTATTGTAGATTTTTTGTAAAACATAAGATATATAGAGAAGTTATTATCCCCTTATCTTTTTTTTCTTATCTAATCTTTGTATGATTTACTTTTTTAAATGCATATAATAATCCTTTTTTGTTTAGCTATCATGGTTAATATGCATATTAATAAAAACTTAAGACTTGAAATCTGAAAAAAATGCTAAATTGATTTTTATATTGTAAGCTTGCAGATGCATTATAGTAATTGAATACAAATCAATATTTTCTACATTTTGAACTTTCTTATCACTTTTGCTAGTTTAATAACAACAAAACATACTTATATATTCACTATATTATTATATATTGAAATAAGCCGTTCATTAAAAACATATGTTAAAAATTAGCTGTTTTTGTTTCATGTCAGTGTGTAAGATGGTTGTGTGCTCTTGACGGAGAATTATCATCAAAACTGCAAAATCAAATTTAATTTGCTGATTTGGAATAAAAATATTATTCTTAGATTTCAATTCAAAACTATATTATACCTAGTTGTTTCGATCAACTGGTGTACAGTATATTGATAAAAAATTCATAAATAATGATAATGAAAATACTGCTGCAATGAAGCTGCAAACTTCCTGAGTGTCATGATGTTATGAGGAAGGTTGCTGTCAGATGTCAGCTACTCAGAACATTGTTAGTCTGTTTTTTTCCTGAAAGTTAATTAAACAAATACAAATAGATATTATTAACAAAACTAACTAGAGTAAACCAGCTAGCCTACTCATCATCATGTCCATGCCATGGAAACAATCATGTTATTGGGGCCGATTTAAACTTCAACATGTGACTATAAGAATGATCTCCAAGCCTTAGATTACATAAACTTTGACTTTCAATATGTACATTTCTGTCACTGGAATCCACCGAACTTAAAACATTTATATCGGGTTAACAGTTCTAGCGCTGAGAGAATACATATTACAAAAGGACTTTGTCAAAGGCTGCAGCAGTCTTCTATTATCACCAACATAGAGAGTGTATGATGGGTGTAGTACTTGACCTTTAAGTTTATCTGCTATTAGATATGGATTTGTTTTTCTTGTGTCTTTTTATCTGAGCAGGCTTAGGATGTCTTCTTAAACATATGCTAATTGAAGATTTATAGTTTATCTCTGTATATAGCATTCAGTACAAAAGGTGTTTGTTTCTTCCGTTGATTTGGAAAAATCGTATTATTCCAATTTACTAGTTCCACTGAAGCAACCGAATTCGAAGTAATGTTTTACCTACACCGTGCACGGATACCCATTTCATATGGGCGCTATTGCACTTTCGTACCTCTACCAGCTCCCGTAGTCGTAGGCACTTGAAATTTTCAGAGGATGTTAAGGGGGGCTAGCAATGACCACACACCAAATTTCAGCCGAAATGTTGGCATATGTTATCCCCCCGACCCACCTATTGGTTTGAAGGCCATATGTTCGTTGACGCTCTAGGATCTAAAGACAAGCAGGTGATACCATTATGTAGAGCAGTGATGGGATTTCAAAATTTTTCACGTGTCAACAAAATATTCAAATACATTGTATAGTGTTGAGGCTAAAGTTATCACATGATTATGTTCATATTTATACAAAATTTTTACGGTCATGAGACGAACAATGCTAAAATCTGTGGACACTCTAGAGGCTAACCGCTAAGTTACCATCTGATACACTGGTAATTTATGCACATTGTCTATTTTCAACGACTTCTGATAATTACTGCCAGAGTTATAGCCCATGATCACTTTAAAAAATTTTTTTGCACTCTCTGAAGGTCAAACTTATCCGATTAACTTGAAATGTTTATGTTCATAAGATGAAGAAGCATATATAGATTTCCAACATTTTCTGATAATTAATACCAGAGTTATGATCCATGAGAACTTTGACAAGTCTTGTGGACACACGGAGGCCAAATTTATTTTTCGACTGACATGTAATTTATCTTTTCAGTGCCTTTAAATTTATGTGCATGAGATAAAGAAACCTGGAATTACCTTCGGAGTTATTGTCCGTGAACACCTTTAAAAGTCTTGTGTACGCTCAAGAGGTTAAAGTATATAGCCTTGTAGGCCTATCATAAATTTTAGCATTAGGGAGATCTAGAAGCCGATCATATTTCTATAAATTACCGGTACTTAAAGATACATTAATTAAGAGTTTAATAAAAAGTTGGTCATTTTTGCTATAATAATTCAAATATAGATGATAAAAAAAGAAAATATTGAAAATTTCATTCAAATTACTTCATTCTCAGCCAAGTTATCATTGTTAGTAGTTTTGACAAGGAATGCACATTGGTAACCAGGGCACTGGTATAATCGTGTCTTAGCCTCGCTTTCCCATTTTTAAATTAAATTTTTAAATGGCGAACCGTTTTAATCTAGTTAAAATCTCGAGTATCCTATGCCATCGAGAGTCGATTATGGTCTTGTATGTAACATTTCAGGCCTAAAGAAAGACCTGCAATAGGCAGATTTAGCTCTTGCATGGTGTATGTTCAACCGTGGTTAGCCTACTATTCATCGGTTTTTAATGTATTGTAAATTTTTTATGCACCTATTACCTACAAAAGAATAAATATGCGACAACCCCACGGTGTATGATTCGTTGGCTGGCAACCTATCATTTACCTCACAGAATAACTACACTCAGGAAGAGTCAAGAACCAAGAATGACTGTGAAGGAGTTGGTGAAGGGAGGTAACTCTGTTAACTTTATTAACAACCCGGGCTTCTGACTGTGTACTTAATTTAACCCCTTGAAAACCAGTAAATTTAAAGTTAAACAACTTGTATGATTTGTATGAAATGTTGCACACAGTTTAATCTGAACATATCCGACGTGTTTAGTCAAATCACGTTTTTTTTACCAATGATGTACACCACATCAATGCCCCGTTAAGGATGTCTTATTTGGACTAAATTAAAACATATTCAAACTAATTCATCTCAAATGTTTCCTTGAAATCGCTTTCTAAACAATTTAATCGGAAGAAAACTATATCCCATCGCGTGAGTATCTATGTTAATCAGCCTTGTTTGTCACGTTACTTGGTTGAGAGGAAAAAAAATCCAATTCAGCTTGTATTCAAATGTTTCCTTGAAATCGCTTTCTAAACAATTTAATCGGAAGAAAACTATATCCCATCGCGTGAGTATCTATGTTAATCAGCCTTGTTTGTCACGTTACTTGGTTGAGAGGAAAAAAAATCCAATTCAGCTTGTATTTATTTTTAGTCGATAAATTAAATATCGAAGCCTAAGTACCTTCCTGGATTATACTCTGCAAATTTCATTTTCACAGATTATAGGCAACTGAGCGTTTAATTCTCTCAACGGTCTTATAACCGTTAGACTTATAGCCATTTAAGTGGTGGCACACAGTGTGTCATGGCTTATAATAATATAATTTCATATTATAATATACGTTCAGATAAAAAAATAAGGTTCGAGATGACAAAGCCCTATTCACACTTTTCTGTTATTTGACCCCGATTGCCCTACGGTGAGCAAACCGGTGCCAACAGTGGGGATTCGTGGAAGCAAGGATGTGAAAGGGGGTGATCAAGATTGAACCGTGAGTCGCTACGGTGGTTTTAAAACTGTTGGGGCGAACCGTGTTCAAACCTGGGATATTGTCGCTTTTAAAAGACTAACCGACGCCATTTTGGCAGACAAGCAGTAGGCTATAATACACACCTTGACTACGGTGCCATTATATTACGGTGTAGCCACGGTTTTAGCCAGACAGGTTACAAACGGTTTACTACGGTACGTCCTGGTACAACTACGATTTATCAAAGTTCATCCCGGTCACTACGGTTCGCTATACGGTCTTGCCAGGGGATAATATAGTAACTCAAGGTAGCTACGATGACACCACGGAATGTTCTTTTGCTATGGTTTGCCACGGGTTGCACCGGTAGTTTTAAACAGTTTAAACGGTTTCATTACTGCCTATGCCCACCGTGGCGCCACGGTGTGACTGGGGACGACCCGACGCCCATAAGTCACCGGGGTAGATCGTGAACCGGGATAAACCGGGGAAACCGGTAGTCAAACATTAAAATGCTGTTGTGGTATATGGGATTTCCGTGGCCTTCCGAGGTAAGCCTTGGTAATTGCCGTAATAGTACCGGCAGCTACACTGTAGACCCTATAGTAAAAAAATAATAAACCGAAGTGAAACCGTGAAATACCGCTTTTTTCGCAAACATGAACCCGGTTCGAAACCGGGGAGAACCTGGCTAAAACGTGGCCGATACCGGGAAGGTGTGATCTCCTGGGCTTTAGCTAATTAATGTACATGTACATGTAATATACTCAGGGGAACTAATGATAGACGTAGACTGTGGACATTGACGTTGTTGCTTACAGTGCAGTCTAGTGTTTCTGAAATTATATAAGAACCTAATTTATAAATATCACCCTTTAAACTAAGCTATTACCTGTAGTTATATTTAGTATTTAATTGGCTAACTATAGCTCGTTTTCGCCATAGGCTTATCATTAGAGCGCGTTCCCCCAGGAAGACCAATCATCATTAACTGTCAATTTGTCAGTTTGTAACTCTACCTAATGAAAGGTTGGAGAGTAATTAACCAGTAAAATAAAACAGAAGTCATGAATATAAACAAAATTAGAATATTATATTATGTCTGTGTTGATCTGATGGACTTACTTACAGGCCTCGTTTAGCAGTCGGGCTAGTTTACTAAAATATAATATTATAATTTGTATTGTGAAATGAGTGAGCGAAGCGTGTTTGATATTGACCGTGTCGTGACAAGTTTTCATGAGCTGTATTTAATATATACGCGTTTTCAAATAACAGACATTGAGGTTTTGGTTTAGGGACATACTTGTTAGCTTAGTTACATACACTGCATGGCGAATTATTACATTGGGGCTTGGTGCGAACCTCTATTACAAGTGTCTGGCGGGACAGGGAGAAAACAAACAACATTTTGTTGTGTAATGAAGAACCATTGGACTTCACAATAAATTAAGTGCGTATTGTTGATGCCAGGCGGGACAGCCCCCCCCCCCCAACATTTGTAGTGTTTCTGTACGTTCATTACAGTATAGTTCGAAGAACCATTGCACTTCACAATAAATTAAGTGGGTATTATTGATTTTAACTGATGTTTTGAAGGTTGCTTTATGTTTAGATTCATCTTTAGTTCTTTCCCATTCCGTTGTTGGCCGACACAATTCCCTGGTATGTTCCAGTCTGGGTTTCACTTGTCAGTGCTGGGAAAGAAAAGCACCTAGTCCACCCCACCTGCCCACCCGTGTACTCGTTGGCACCCACGTAAAAGAAAACTTGAATTCGATAAAGGGTAATTCCGCTGTCCTTGCAGAATCCCCACACAGTACATACACTGGAACAAAGAGACAGGGCTTTCGCAACGAATTTCAGCCCAAAACTGCTTTCTTTACTTATCTTCATGAGATAACAATTATGATCTTTAATTCAAAGCTAGGGTTTCGTATCAAGGACGTTGCTGGACGTCATCGTCTCTTCGCACGCCTCGTGTTTACCTGACCTGTGATCCTTGTGTGAGGTAGGTCCAATTTAATGCCACTTACTTTTTTGGACCCGATTCGGTAGGTTTGCCTGTTCTCATTTATTGTCAACACTCTAGATATCAGATTTAAAAAAATGTCTTTAAAACTTGCTATGCGTGTTTGGCTTGCCATAAAGAGTAACCGTATGGAAGCTGTGTTTGGATTTTACGCGTGGTTATTGGCCCTATCACCCAAACCTTGTAAATGACCTACACACCAGTTTTTGAGTTTTAATTTCCATCTCGACGGAATTGGATAGATCTGGAAAACCCCTATATAGCAGATGTTGCCCTTATCACCATGAACCTGTAAACACAGTGTAGGTCAAAGGTTTTTTTAGTTTTATTTTCAAATTGACTGCGCTTTTGGACTAAGCATAAGGGAGAATTATATTTTGAAATTCAATTGCTCATCTATTTTAATATATCGCCCATGTATACCCCCTGAAATCTTGTAAATACTGTATAAGGAGGAACCTTACCGAAATTTAGAATCACACAGTTACTGTCATGAGATACATGAGACCAAAAAAGATTTAACCCATGACACTAGAGCAAACAATGTCCAACACCATAATATTAACGATATAGCAACGGGGGCATTTACAGAAATAGTTTGGAGAAACAATTTTTGTAGATATTGATCCATTTTTTAAACACAACCAAGAAAAGCCTCAAAGCGAAGCTATCAACCATGATTTTGGAAAGTGAAATGATGAAAAACCATTTTATAACAATATTGCCAAGGATATGAACACTGTGCTTAGTGATATCTAAGATTAAGAGGGGTGATTTGTGGGTCCTTCGGCGTGAAAAAACTACTAATCAAATAATATACACATGTTGATACCTACTTATTGTTTAAACAACTTATCTGAAAGTGAAAAGACAAATAAATATCTTATAACAATGCTTAGAGCATATCGTATGTGTAAGAAGTTTTATAGGGTGGTAGGCATGGGTACACTATTTGATTGTTGTATACTTTTCTAACTTTCATTTGAACACCTTAACCTGCAATATGTCAACGGTAAGTTGATTTCTAATCTTATTTTCTTAAATTTTATGATTAATAAAATGCAGTAATTTTAATAAGTAATATTTCTTAAGTTCATATACGTGAAATACTTGAAACACCTATACAGCGTTTTGGAAATCATCATAGGTTGGTAAAAAAAAATGTTTTGCCTTGAAGTGATTTGAGAATCCAGACGGTATGGTAAATTTGAGACACAGTTTTATATTATTTAAGTATATTTTAAAATTTAACGAATGTCTTTTCGAAGTATTTTAAATGTGATATTGTTCAAAGTTAATATACTTTATTTATTGGTGGGGAACGGTAAAATGTATATCTTTAATGTTTTGTAGCGAAAATGTATTAACTATGTTTTATTTAACTACTTGACGTAATATATTCACACATTCTATTGTTTTCTGTTTCTGTTTTATCGATGGTCAAAAAGCATGGGGGCAACATTTTACTTTAAATTTCTACCCGAAGTTAATTTAATGAGCACGATTCATGAACACAGTGAAACAATGAGCAGTTTATCTTCATCGCCCTTTAGTTCATACCAACGTAAGTATACTGTGCAAATTTTGATCATAGTCTGTTTTCATTTTCTATTTTTTACTATTATAGCGAGGACTGTCAGCTCTTTATCTAATCTTGCCCAATGCCCCTTTAAGGCTATTGCAGTCATGTACGTATGTGTTCATGAGAATAATAAATGAAGTTGGAATCCAAAAACACCGTTTTGCGAATGGATATATTATGTGAATTTGTAGAGAACTAAAGATTCCCTGGGACTCATTCGTATAGTTTTACAGAAGTTTTTACGGGAGGTCTATACTTTGCGACTTTTAGTGAAGATGGCTCAATTAATTTTATTCGGATTGGTGTGAACTCGCCGTAAAGTGTATACAGAAACCACCATACAATTTTGTTTGTTCAATTGATTTAGCCCTTGATAAAAATCATGGAATCAATCTGGTATTTAAAAAAATAAACCTGGTGGCATTTAGCAACACATACTGCTGTCATAACTTCAGACTATTGGGTACATGTTTGTAAGGGGCACATGACTATAGTCTGTCAAAACTGTCCACGTAATTTGAAGAGGAGCTTGGCCGATTGTTGGTTACCGATGGTTGCCATAATTTCGCCGTTTAACCCCAAAAAATATCATTGGTTAAATCGTGTTGAAATTGGAAACTGTGAGTGGATGTACTCTTGATACGTGTAGTTTTTACATTTTGAAAACACACTAAATGAAATGTTAAGAGGTGAAATATTTTGATAGGCCTATAGATATATTATTTTATAATGTGTAAAACGTGCTATTTATTATTTCAGGGAGATAACAATCCGGTTTAAGTTTTCCCATCTAGATTAAGTTTTCCCATCTGGATTGTCATCTCACTGAAATAATTAAGACTATTGCAAAAGAAAAATAAACGTATTTTACGTTTCCCGCAAGACATTTATTTCGACTTTATTTTAATTACTTATGAAATACCAAGTACATCGATAATCGTATAAAGGGGGAATAATCTGGTTTAAGAATGAGTTGAATAGAGCAATTTGATTATCAATACTGTTCTATTGCGATATTTGGATCGTATGTCATTTATATTCGTACAATTATCACATTTACTTGTATACTTATCAAACTGAAGCATACAAGGGACAATAAAACATTAAGTCACAACTTTACGCGTGTTTACCTACAAATATGGCGATTAAAATTATACCATATCTACTTACACGATCCCTATTGTGTGATATAAGGCCATCAAAGATATATATATATAATTTAAATTATTTCAGGTTCTTTCAGCGAAGTTTCAGTTGAACCAGATCTACATTTAGATTTATCAGGTAATGGTAATAAAAACATCTATAAAGACAATATTCAGTTTCATTTGATACACGATACAAATCACGAACAAAAACCGACAGGAACCGACAACATCGTTTTTGTCTTGGCAAATAGCGCTCAGATTATTGCAAAAGCAACCCACAATATATATATTATTCTACACGTCAAATCCAAGTTTGAAATGCTTTCATAACATTAAAATTTTTATGGATAATTGAAATTTTGTAATATCCCCATTAAAGGGACAATCTCGATTCTATTTTGGAGAATAAAACTGTTTAATTTTGTGTTAAAATCCCTTAAAATCCTCGACCTTAGAGCCGAGCAACTAACTCAATATATACTCTTCAAAAAAAGTAGGGGATATTCAGAAACAATACAAAACTGAGGAAATGCACTGCTGTTTTTATTAGAGGTAACCAGTGTATGTTAATAACAGGCCAATTGTCTACACATGAACATAAACAGTTCATATGGGCGGCTTATTTGACGGCCCCCTTTCACTCCCAGAGAGATGAACTGTCAAAAGTGAAAATGGACGTTTCTGATTTTTGTCTTCATTTGGGGCAATCTGACCCACTCCTCTTGCAGTGCCACGGCCAATTCTTGCAGTGTTGTCCGTTGACGTCGACGAACACGTCTCCCGATCATGTCCCAGACATGCTCTATAGGGGAAAGGTCAGGACTCATAGCTGGCCAAGGCATACGGACAATATAGTGACGCCGGAGGTAGTCATCACGACACGAGCGCGGTGGGCACGGGCATTATCATCTTGAAAGATGAAACGTCGACCTGAACGTTCAGCAAAGGGCAGAACTATCGGTGCCAGGAACTGGTCGAGATAGTACACACCAGTGACCCTTCCTTGAACAATATGCAAGTCCGTTCTGCCAGCCATGGTGATTCCTCCCCACACCGTAACAGACCCACGCCCGAATCTGTCATGCTGTCTGACGTTAACGTTAGCATGACGCTCATTTACACGCCTCTAAACGCGAGCACGCCTATGGCTGAAATCCGGAATAAATCTGGACTCATCTGAGAACATTACACGCGCCCATCGACGATTACCTCAATTTCTACGCTGCCTACACCATTGACGCCTGTTAGCCATGTGCTGACCAGTTAATGGAGGCACAACACGCGGTCGTCACGCATGCAAATGGGCTGCATGTAGCCGATTTCTAATCGTTTGGGGTGTAACTCGAATTCCTGTAACTTGGTACAAGTTGACAGAAAGCTGATTGACCGTTTGTCCTCGATTTCTCAGGACCTGTGTACGAATGTATCGATCCTGGGCTTGTGTGGTGGCTCTAGGACGACCTGAACGAGGTCTATCATCAACATTGTGTGTTGGTTGGTACCGGTTCCACAGTCTGCTGATCACAGACTGTGACACATTAAGCATGTTGGCTACTGCTCACTGTGTAGAACCCATTTCAAGCATGCCAATAGCACGTTGACGTTCATCATGTTGAACACGCCTCATTGCAAATTAAGCGTAACACACTAAAGCAATGATACGCTAAACAGTAAATCATATGCAAGAACCGATAGGAAAGCAAACATGGATAGGATAAACCAGCACGCAGCAGTTTTCACCAACCCTTCCTTGAAGTGTTAAATTTAACAATGAACCCCTCCCACGTGTATGACGCTATTGCGTGTCGCACGTGCAGTTCAGTGGTTCTGTTGTGGCGATAAGTTCTTCATCTGTGAACATACTCTCAAAGCATGTCAGGTTCCGTGACTATTTATCCCATCACAACCTACATAGGTATTTGCATTTCAATATCCCCTACTGTTTTTGAAGAGTATATGATACGAAACAACTTAAACCCGTCAGTCTTCATCTGGAGATGAATACTGGTGTCCCAAGCTATTTTTTACGATGTCTCGATAAAAATAGACATTTATTTTATAAAAATAACGTGTAGGTGAAATTTACCTTTTGTTATCAAGTACATCACGTGGGCCATGCACTGTATAGACTAGATAACAAACCTCATCTCTCAACCCTCCGTGTTTCACACGTCAGTATATCTCAACGTTTTTAGCTACGTTCTCGTAGCTATCTATGTATATACAACTGGCGGTAGTTTTTACTTTGATGTCCATAGCAGTTATATCTCATAACAACCTGTCATGACATCATCATAGGTTGATATATTCGTTCATATCAACCGCTGATGACGTCATGACAGGTTGATATTTCATATCAACCGCTAATGACGTCATCCCATTTCAATATATTCGGCTCATATCAACCGCTGATGACGTAGATGATCGAAATAATACAAAAAAACACAGAAATAAATTTTTATTCTTTTGACAATTAAAATTTGTTATGGTACAGTTTCTAACATTCAGGACCGAAATAGACGGCGTACTTATCGACATACATGTATTTAGATCGGTTATCCATGTCTAAGACATCTTTCAGAATTTTCTTTTCGTCCACATTGCGATTATTTCTCCACACACTACAAGACTTGAAAGTATTTATCGCCCAAGAGTTCCTTTGTAAAGTATTTTTGGGTACAGTCCACTTAAAACAGTCGGTCAAATCCTTCTCTGAACATACCGAAAACCTTCAATCATGGTTCACTGTGAAAGAATTATGCCTTTTGGTCCAAAGTTTCTGCAGGCTTTGGATAGATCCTCGTCGATATTTGCATTCACATCTATTCCATCGTCAATATGTTGGCTAAAAAGGATTGATTATTCGTCTGACTTCGTATTACTATCCATTTTGTTTTTGCTTTCAATTCAATAGTCCAAAATGGCGACATATAAACAAAAACATGCACGTAATTGCACGTGATTACTTCGGTAATTTTCGCTATTTGGCGGAAACTATCGAGCAATTATCCAATCGTTGTTGCCTTTTAATGGAAGAGCCCATTAAATTTAAGGGTGAAATGGCGTGGTATATGTCGGATATAAACCTACTCTCCCTCGGGTAGGTTAATATCCTATACATAGACCTCTAAAGGAACGGCACTAGATTATCAGGTCACCCATCGAAAAAATTGACCCGAAATCTTAAAAGGGTTTTGACGTTCACGTTCAAACGACTCAATATTTTGAACTGAAATTTTTATACCCCCACATTTTCATGTGGACGTATATTGTCGTCGCGCCTGTCCGTCCGTCCACAATTGTTTGTGGACACCCTACGGGTCACAATTTTTATCCGATTTCAACGAAACTTGAAATATAGGTTTATCCCCCTCAGATCTCGGTTCCTTTCGATATTGGCATGTATAGGACCGTAACTTCATGGATTATGGCCCCTGATTGTACGAAAAATTGCGTTTTTAGCTTGTGGACCCTATAGAGGTCACAATTTTTATCCGATTTTGTTGAAACCTGAAATGTAAGTTTATAAGCCAAAGATCCCGGTTCCTTTCGATATTCGCGCATATCGGACCGTAACTTCCTGAATTAGGCCCCTGGTTGTACGAAAAATCGCGTTTTTAGCTTGTGGACCTTATAGAGGTCATAATTTTTATCCGATTTCAAACACCGTTTGAATATATCACCGTTACACCATAAGGATGGTTGAGTTCGAATTTCATAAAAATCGTACTCAAATAGCGTAAAAATATGGTATATCAATGTTGTGGACCCTCTAGAGGTCACAATTTTCTTCTGATTTTGATGAAACTTGAAATGTAAGTTTATAACCCAACGAACTTGGTTCTTTTCGATATTTGCGCATATCGAATAGTAACTTCTTGAATTATGGCCCCTGATTGTACGAAAAATCGCGTTTTTAGCCTGAGGTCCCACTAGATGTCACAATTACATGTATTATCCGATTTAAAAAAAAACAACGTTCAAATATACCACTGTTACACCGTAATTTTGGTTGAGTTCGAATTTCGTGAAAATCGGACCAAAACTGCCGGACAAAATGGCCGCCCCTCGTAAACATCTGGTATATCAAAGTTGTGGACCCTCTAGAGGTCACAATTTTGATCTGATTTTGATGAAACTTGAAGTGCATGTTTATAACCCAAAGATCTTGGTTCCTGTCGATATTCGGGCATATCGGATTATGACCCTTGAATGTAGAAAAAATCACGTTTTTAGGTTGCCGTCCATGTAGAGGTCACAATTTTTATCTGATTTGAATATATCACCATTGCACACTAAGATCTTGGTTCCTTTTGATAATCGCGTATATCCCAACGTAATTTCCTGGATTATGGCTCCTGATTGCTCGAAAAATCGCATTTTTAGCTTGCGGATTCTCTAGAGGTCACATTTTTTTTCCGATTTTAAAAACCGTTTAAGTATATCACCATTCCACCATAATGAAGGTTGAATTCGAATTTCGGGAAAATAGAAATGAAACTGCCCGACAAAATGGCCGCTCTTTGTACACAAATTGTGTAAAAGTATGCAATACGAAGGTTGTGGACCCTCTAGAGGTCACAGTTTTTACCGATTCTGATGAAACTTCAAACATATCTTTATAGACCAAAGATCTCAGTCCCTTTTGATATTTGCACATTTCAGACCATAACTTTCTAGATTATTGCCCCTGATTGCACAAAAAATCCCGTTTGGGTTTAGCTTGTTCTCTATCCATCTCTTGCAAAATGTGGGCGTATCCTGCCTGGCAGCCGCTGGTTAGACATATTTTGGCATTTAAATTTTATACGTACATATACTTTTATTTCTGAGACCCGTCTTCATTAGCCCAGGTTAGGAGCAGAACAGTAGGACGTTAAACCCCATTTCATTTCATTTATTTCTGAGACTCTGTTAAAATCAGGATGGTCCCTTTAATATTTATCCAAATGTAAACATTTTTATATAAATGGTATAATATATAGACCCACCTTGTATTGCACATGTCGGAAAGTTCATTTCGTATCTTGGTCCTTGTTTGGTTCTTACAACCTGCATACGTATATTAATTTTCATTCAATTGATGTTAGTTATATGGCAGATCTATCTATCACACATTCCCGTAGGTCACCTTTTGCAATAATGTGGACGCTATTGACAAAAAACAAAACAAAAAACGCTATGGTCGGTTCTTGTCGGTGGATAGTCAATCTGATTAAAGCACAGATCCCATTTCATTTCGTTTCTTATAGTTCCAAATTTCGATTTACTTATCTTACTACACTAGGATCTGGAAACTTGCTATATAATAGGCGTCCTAGTTGATAAAAGGAATTAGCCAATGAAACGGTCTGTTACGACGAGTTCTTGGCGTGCCCTGTACGGAACTATGGGTAAACCCATAAAAACGCCAACGCTGATTGATTAATCAATGTCTGACAAAGAGATTTAGCCTCTTCAATGAAAGTTGATATGGCGCAATAAACATAAGGATTCCCTGCAGGGGCTAAGTGAGAGGGACGCAATGACGAGCAATCTGATAAAAACACAGATCCTATTTCGTTTCGTTTTTTTATAGTTCAAAATTTCGTTTCACTTATCTTTACAACACTAGGATCAGGAAGTGTTGTATAACACGCGTTCTGGTTGATGTAAGAGATTATGCAATGAAACGGTCTGTTGCGGATAGTTCTTGCAGTGCACGGAATTGTGGGTATCCCACTAGAAACATCAACACTGATTTGTTAATCAAATATCTGACGTCATAGGGTCAAGAGCCGCGTGTATGACCCCTGACGCGATCTCCCACTACAACCGGTCAGATCTTCATGTAGTGGAGGCCATCGAAAGTATATATATATATATATAAAAACGAAATAGAGATCTGTATTTTAATCAGATGGTGGTTAGTAGAGCTCAAATCTCCATTTACGACTAATTCTAGAATATTTAACCTATTAACAAAATTCTAACAATATCAAACTGGATGTGGGCTTTAAAGTAAACAAAAGTGTGATTAAGTTTTGTGAATCAATGGCAATTTAATAAATTCTTCTGGTAAACTAATGGGGACAAAAGAAACAAATCCTGGGATAACATAACACAAAAATAAAACTTATATAGCCCTGAAAAACGAGTTGTGATAATTGACTCAAACGAAGCTAACAAAACGAATACTAGGCCGTAGTGTGAAATTTCTAGCTAGCTTGCTTCTGTTTCTCCGTCCCGACCATTTTCGGGTGAAAAAAAAAGTACATCATCTAATTCTTCTAGTATTACTTTGTATTGTCACACAACTTTTCTTTTATCAATTCTTTGACGTTAGATAGAACACGTAAATTAAATATGGGCTTACTTGTCAATGTGCAATGGTATTTGAATTTCGCGGTGACTCGGTTTAAACAGATCACGTGACATAATTGGCCAATCAAACATACACGACGAAAAGTTCAACAGGTCATGTGGTGAAAGGTCACCTGCTCTTTGTTTACGTTTTGTTATTAACGGTACATGGCGGAAGGATAGCTAAAGTAAAACTGCATAGCTCGAGTACATTTTGTTAAAACACTGAGCTAAAACCGTTCACTGCGACAAGCTGGGAAAAATTTAAGGTATGTGCTAACCAGTGGATCAAATTAGATGGAAATGTGCCGGAGACAAATGCCGATTTGCTGGAGAAAGCTGAATCAGAACTCCAGTCAGGAATGTGCAGACAAAACTGGGGTATTTTCCCCATTTTTTTGCAAATGCAAGCTGATGAAGATATTCTCCCAAATGCATGACAACCCAGACCAAGGACTACTCCGCCCAAGACCACTCAGACCAATAGAGAAGTCCACTCAGTCAAAGACAGAAGACCACTATGGTTAAGACTGTGTCATCAATATTGAGGTGAAATACAATGTGCAGTACTCATACCCAACAAGTTGTTATGGAGAGAGAGAAATGGGGTTTAACGTCCACTCGACACAAACTAGGTCATTTTGGGACTAACATATGGTTTAATTTTTTATTTCAATAATTCGCTTGCGCGTAGGGGTCTTTAACAGTGGGAGGAAAGGGGAGGACCCAGAGAAAACCCACGAGGTTGGACAGGCGACCCTACTCCTTGTCACGTACAACCGGGGATTCGAAACCACGCCTGTTGACTCAATGACAGGCTTTATGATACAGTGCGCACGTGCTAACAATTCGGCCATCCAATCCCCATGTTATGGAGAAAGTTAGAACCGAAATAGATGAGTTGGTACAAGTGCACTTACATCACCAGTCAAAAAGGGGGCATATTCTGGCGCATTCCTCCCAGGTTGCCTGACTGTAGCTGTGGAAATTTAAACCCCTCTTGTTAAACTCTATTGAACAAATGACAGGGTTAGGGTGACTAGAGATCAAGCACCAAACAAAATTTTCAATGTGAATTTAAATCAAGCTGCATTACACTTTTACAGATAGATCAGTAATAGATGTACTTGTTACAAGTGAAAACTTTCTTGTATGGTTTTGTGTATATTGTTCGAATATAAAAGTGACAGCCAAACATATGCTGACAGTGACATTGATTTTAATAGTGATGATAATTTTGATGAAATTATGTGAGTAGGCCTACACCTGTATACATGTATTTTTGTAAGCGGTTTTTTAATATTACATGTTTTAAATATGTTTTACTTAAATGTACTGTACATGTCAATAAATTTTCATATTATATTTTGTCACTTTATGCTTACTATATGTTTTTATTTTACTTTTTTATTCTAATTCATTTCCGATGGTTTCCCCTTGTCAGTGGTGCAGGCGGAGGGCTGACAAGGCACAAGGACAGCAGTCTATTCGAGGTCCTGTGTATACATTGGTGTGCACGTAAAAAGATCCCTTGGCAGTTGTAATTTGATATAAACGTATTGGCCATAGTGCTGTGCCCAGGCAAAATTTGCTTTATAGCACACTGTATGGCGTATATGCCCATCTTCATTAGACCATTTCATTTCTAATTCATTTTACTAGAACCATTTTACTGTTAATTACTGTTTGTTTTTCTCTTATATGTACTTTTATTTACTGGTTGGTATATATCTTTCAATTTTGTACAGTGTATATGGGCACAAGACCTGATCTCTGTGTAAATACATGTATTCTGTGAATATATGAACCTGAACAGCACATTAGAAACCGTTCTCCAGTATTAATGTATTAATGATGATGTTATTATTATTATTATGTACATTTTTCATTAATACTAGTGGTGTATGGTATTGTTGTGTACGAGGAAATTTATATAATTGCATTTGTTTATTTTTTTAAATTTCTTTCTTTAAATAAATGTAATCTTATACTCTCTTATAGGGGGTTGGGTAGCCGAATGGGTAGCATATCATAAGGTCTGTCATTGAGTCCACTGGCGTGGTTTAGATTCCACGGTTGTACTTGACAAGGAGAAGGGTCGCCTGTCCAACCTCATGGGTTTTCTCCGGGTCCTCCGGTTTCCTCCCACTGCTAAAGACCACTACACGCAAGCGAATTATTGAAATAAAATTGAACCAAAATTACCTAGTTTGTGTCGAGTGGAAGTTAAACCCCATTTCTCTCTCTCTATACTCTTATAATAAGTCTATTGTTTTCTCGTTTTAAAAAAATAGTAAAATTGATGAAGGTGAATTATTATTAATTGTATCGATCAGATCACATGGTATTATTATTTTTGTTTTTTCTTAGCATTATATATTATTATAAGACCGAACCAGTATTTCAAGCATGCCAAAATCGTTTTCATCTGTATTAAGTATATATTTCTCTTGGATATTGTTTCACTGAAATAGTTTTGAAGAAATACTTGTTTCCAGAAAATAAAAGATTCATTCAATCATTGGTGCTATTTCCTAATTATTGGCCATATTTATGCAACAGATCAGGGGTAAGTCGTCTTTACCGTGTCAATGCAACATTTAACAGGTGATATTATCCAGTAATCCCGGCATATTTGCAGAGAAATTCTCTCAGACAAATGTAAACAATCCAACGTGTTCTGTCTCATAAAAGGTATTCACTGGTCTATTTATGGCTATTGACCCTTGACCTGTGACGATCTTTGCTTTTATGGTTTCTGATTGGCTTAGAATTTGATTTTTTCACCCGATTATGGCTACACTTGACAAATATAGTTCGAGACGTAATTCGAGTGCAAGACGTATTGTGCAATGCATCGGAACAGAAAAGTATGCGACAGTGACGGCCTACTGGTTAAATTATGTAACAAAGCGTCAGATTTTCACCCGGAATTTGCTGGGACGAGATGAAACGATTTTCGGGGCTAAATCACAGCCTATACTAAACAGTGCATGGAATCTGCTAAACTTAACATAGACAGAATGAACCATACATGAATACAGAGCAGAAACAAACTACTTTTCACACAACAGACCTTAACATATGAGATCATAGTGAAAAATGGTGTCAGAAGTAAAACCTAAGAAAAGGCACGTATCCTCGTCCATGATACCCATATCATTCTATTCGAGGTGTTAAATAAAGATAAATTACTAATATTTTCTAATTACAGGACCAGATTTATCTAATGTGAGTAAAGAACTAGAAGAATATGTAACACAACTGAAGGATAGTGTTGGTAACATGAAAAATCAAACACGTACACAGAACAAGTAAGACTAATCGTCCACGGGCCGGTTGATAAAACTCAGTTATTTTAACGATCGTTAAACTCTAACAGATCGTTATCTTGCTAATGTGTCGTTTGTTAACTGTCTGTTAAATTTCTGTTGCTGGAAAGTCAATTTCATTATCCGTTAGCTAAGGAGATATCGCTTTACATGAATTTGATTGGTCATCTCCTACTCGTCTTTTTGATATCAAAAAATATCAACACTTTATCAACTTGTGTTGATATTTTTTGATATCAAAAATGAATGGTAGGAGATTCTCTATATGTTACAAATAGTGAAGAATGGAACACTGAAATCATAATCTTATCTTACCGAACAGTTTTTCGAGTGACATGACATCCCGTGATTCTGGTTCGGCAGCCATATTAAACTAACAGAAATTTCGCATAGCAGTTGGGTTTAATCAAATCATGTAGGCTAATTATACGGTAAGGTTTAACCTTTATTTCAATGGGAATTGGTTTATATAGAGAACCTCCTACCAGTTGATAAAGTAACAAAAAACGAGGCTCTGCCGAGGTTTTTTTACTTTATCAACGAGTGTTGATATTTTTTGATATCAAAAAAGACGAGTAGGAGATTTTATTTATCACCCAATCCCTTCTTACATGCACAAATAGATAAATATAATTCTTTGCTGTAGATTTTACTTTTACTGAACATTAAGGCGTAGTGATACATCATTTTTTGACAGCAATTCAACCACTGCAAAGTCCTTTATATTGACCCAGTGTTTCCATCAAGGTCAATTGAATAACTATAGTTCATTTTTAATAAAAAAAAAAAGAGTTACTTTTAATAATAAATGAACTGTTCTTTGAAAATAAAAAAAAGCAGTTCCTTTTCAACTGACCAATCAAATTCATGTAAAGCGATATCTCCTAAGGAGATATCGCAGTAGATTATGAAATATATCACACAAGCGATATCTACTGTAGAATGTATTATTGGGTGATAATATATGTTAAGCTATGTACAGTACAGTTTGGGGTTAGTGTTATTGGAAATTAAGGGAGTTATAGGCCAGTAACCTTTTTTTTAAGTCAATTGACTAAAAAAACTTGCTCAAAGGAAGGCCTTTGGACGGTCCACTACTGTGGCTGGAGCAAGACGGAAGACATCAGTAGTCGAACCATTTCTAAAAATTCACTAGCGCTAGCCTGTTCAATCCTCTTGTTTGTAATTAAAACAACATGAATGATTAGGCCTAGTGTGTAAAATTAGTATTATTAGTTTTTTTAAATGCATAATAGTTGTTCGTAAAGTATGGGTGTATTGAGAAAGAGTCCGACTTTAATAGAATTTATGATAAAAAGATAATATTGTGTTATTTTTCACGGACCCCAATGTCATGCCGTTGATAACATTAAATATTACAGTCTGATGGCGCTATAAAGTCTTTATTTTAACCACACCGCATAGAAATTTAGAGAAATTTAAAAGTTATTTAAAATATTTTAAAGGTAGTCTCTACCGGCTCAATTTAAAATTAGTTTTATGTACAACTGATCGCTTTAGATCCCTGTCCACGATTTCTTCCAAACACTCTACAGACTTAATTTAACATCTGGTTTCTTGTTTGATCTTTTTCAAATTTGCAGGGAACGTCCATTGCCAATTGGGTTAAAAGAAATAAGAACTGGGATTGAACATCCTACTTTTCTGAACATATTACCAATATTTATAGTTGAATTGATTTGTAATAAATATGAAATATTATAAAAATTCAAACATAATGCATTCTCCGGTCTGCCGGTTCTGGCGTTTAACGTCCACTTCTACCAAGGATGATATCGTAGACAAGTGTTTCCTAAGAAACTTGCCAGAGGAAGCCACAAAATAGACTTGATCCAACTTATTTGGGTAAGACACAGTGTCTTTGTAGGGAAGCACCAAAGATGTGAGCGCTTAACAGGCAGCACATAAAGTTTTTGGCTCTTCAGTTTTTGTTAATATTTACAAGTTTACAGATATTTGAAATATATTTTTGGGACTAGTCGGTTTCCAAAGTCTTTCTGACTCAGGATTTAGTTTTGTGAATGAAAACAAATGGATTACTATGCTATTTCGGATGATATTTATGTTTTGTTTCTGGATAATTCTGAAAAGTTACAGTGAACTCATATTTAACACCCAAGCTCTGCTGATTTCCACCAACCAGATTAATCACTACAATAGAGACGAGCTATTGAACATAAACTCAGTAGCAAAAGATGTCATTAAACTAGATCAATCTGAAGTGACTACTTTTCGACAAATTAAGCCTAGATCACCATGGTATTCTGAGGTCATCTCCCTAGATAAAAATGTTTTCTTTAATGGCCAAGCGTGATTATGGGAACCTCCCTGTTGTTGATAATGATACCGAGTCCCCCTGGAAAAAGCAGTCAAAACACGTTTATTTGATCATCTTGAAAAAAACACCCAACTTATTCTGTGAATTTCAGTCAGCTTATAGACCTCATCATAGAACTGAAACAGCCTTAAACAAAGTCGTTAACGACCTTAAGATGTGTGTCGATAAGGGACATGGTTCATTGCTGATATTGTAAGATCTTTCTGCAGCTTTCGACACAATAGACCACCAAAAAGTGCTTTTTCGTCTTCAGAAAGAATTTGCTATTAATGACGCTGTTTTGGAATGGTTTAGATCTTATCTGTCATCTCGCCATCAATCTGTGATTTTCAACTCAGACAAATCAGAATGTGTTCCTCAAGTGTGTGGTGTTCCTCGGGGTTCTGTTTTAGGACCTGTTTTATTTACAATGTATACAAAGCAGCTTGGAGATGTTCTTAATCAAAATTCTGTATGTCACCATCTTTATCTTTAGATTCGTTTACTCCTGGATCAGGAGGTGCTCCCAAAAATGGCTACCAGTATCGGACAAATTAAAACCTGGATGAATTTAAATCGCTTGAAATTAAATGCAGATAATACCGAAGTTATCCTTTTCGTCCCCAAAACTCGAATTTCGGACTTTCAAATTTAAAATTCGACATGGGAGATATGGTAAATTTATTTAAGGTATTACTAGATTATGGTCTGACCTTTATAAAAAAAAGTTGATGATCAGTGTAGAAAACGCTACTGCCTTCTGAAGAACATCAGTTCCATCCGCCATGTTCTCACACAAGATTCAGTTTCAGCTCTAGCGCGATCATTAATTCTATCGCGACTAGACTATTGTAATGGTCTTCTCACCGGCCTACCTCAAAATCAACTAAATCGCCTTCAGCGAATCCAAACTCTCACAGCAAGAATGGTCACAAGATCTCCATATCATTGTCACATAACTCCAGTTCTCAAAACCCTTCATTTGTTACCAGTCAGTGCCCGGATAGACAGTAGCGGATTATCAGTGAGGCTGATGAGGCTGCAGACTCAGGCCCAAAGATTTCGTAAAAAAATTTTTTTTAGACTTGTCTGATACGATTAAAAACGCATAGACAATGAATGTTAGGGGGGTGGGGTTTAGGCCCAACGGGAATCAACATAGGTCCTCACCCGAAATTAATTAGGCCCACGCCATTTTAAATAGGCCCTATTGTTTGGAGATCTGATCTTATTTTTTAAACGTAGGCCTACAATGTATTTAAATCCTTGTATATATTGTATCCACGTGACGTCATGTATGGGCATATAAAGTTACATTACCAATATCAAACGACTTTGGCTTAAGAAAAAATATCTAGCGAAAGATCTTGCGCTAGTTTCGATGTAAACACCCCATCATGAGGAAATATTATCCTTGAAAATAGGTGTATTTACAATTGGTTTCCGGTGACGTTTCTGCTGTCAAAGCATTTTGTACGACAAATTTCAATAGTTATAACTAATATTTTAATAATATTATAACCTCAGTAACGAATCCCGTTTTTAATGTTAGCAACTACCTTGGCTCTAACTTTAAAAACTAAATAGGCCCTCCAGCAACTGCCGCCTCAGGCTTTGGTGGAGCTTAATTCGCCACTGCGGATAGACTTTAAAGTACTCTGTCTAACACATCAGTGTGTCAGTGGAGAGGCCCCTGATTACCTCGGCAAATTAATTCAACGGTAAATTCCAAAAAGACAGTTGCGTTCAAACAATCTCAATCAGATAGTGGTAACAAAGTAGAAACTTGCTACCTTTCGACAAAGAGCGTTTGCTGTTGCAATGCACTCCCAGTTGAACTCCGTTTAATGAATTCTTTATCAGTCTTCAAATCGCGATTAAAAACTCATATTTTCAAAATTCACTACAGAAATTGACAAAGAAAAACTTAGAGCCAAAAGACCCTTGTATAGTTGTATGCGCTATGAGCACGATTTGTGGATTGGGCGCTATATAAATGGACATATTATTATTTATTATTATTATATTTCATCGGAGGGAGAGGCTCCGGCTGGTGGTTACAACACGTCGGCCGCATTTTTAGGAGCCGAGGATGCCAGTGCTTTCATTTAGAATTCATCAATTTCTTTGTTTACATATTCTTATTTTTGAGAAGGATTTATCAGTAAATGTTCATTTGTAGTCATATCGATCAAGTAAAATGAAGCCATTGCACATGTAACTAACTATCAACTTCCGAGGCGAGAGTCGCCGTTAAGCCGGAGCGACGAAAAGGTCGCCGAAAATGGCGCCGATTTTTTTCGGCGACCTTTTCGTCGCGCTGGCTTAACGGCGATCCTCGTGTCGAAAAAGTCGCCGATCGTCGCCCTTTTCGTCGTGCTGGCTTAACGGCGACTCTCGCGTTGTATCTAGAAACACGATGATCTAAATGGTCGCTTTCAGCCATGTCGCTTTCAGCCACCATAGACAAATGCCACAGTTAAACCGATAACGGAGCTCAACACCTTCAAATATAACGGCAAGTTAAGGACAAATTAAAAGTTAACGGGGCTTCCAGTATCAGACTTTCAGTTAAATTTAACGATCACTTTACCCCATGTTAACGAGTCGTTATAAGTTAACGGAGCTTTGAACAACCGGCCTC